CATTTCTGAGGAGGTCAGAGCTGCTCTCACCTGAGCCTGCCTCCAGCAGGAGCAGGGGAGTCACCCAGCAAGGCTGGCTGAGCACAGAGACACTGCCAGGCTTGTTGTGAAATTAATAAATTAGTAATTGCTTGGCTTAACGTGTGGGAATCAAACCCAGGGCTGCTCGCAGTTGTTCGGTGTGTGTGGGCAGGGGAGTCAGGAGTGCTGGTTTGGCTTAAATATCATTAGTGGCAATAATGATTTAATTTTTCCCCAGTGGCTGTGGGAAACCGAGCTGTGCTCGGTGACCAGAGCTCCTGGGGCAAACAGCTGGGCACCAGTCCTTGCTGGGGATTTCAGCACCAATTCTTGCTAACACAGTGAATAATGGCATCTCTTCTTGCTCCGTGGCCCCGAGAGATGCTCTGCCTTGCCCTGCCTCGTGCCAGCTCCAGCAGAAGCTTCTCCTGCTGCTGCTTTGGCTCTGGCTCCAGGTGAGAGCTCCGAAGCCGGCGTGGGGTCGGAGCAGCCGTGCCAGGATTGCAATCCTGGAGCCACAGGATCCTGTCCTGAGAGCCCAGCAGAGACTCCTGAGAGTCACTCCGGCCCTGCCTCTCCACCTCGGGAGCCTTGGAGCCTTTCCTCTGTAACTGGTGTGAATTCCCTGATTATTCCCAGAAAAGGTTTTGAAGTAAATCCCAAAGGAGCAAAAGGTCACTGAGCAAGAAGGGCATAACTCTCCCAGCTGGATAATTAAAACGAAAATTAAAAAGTGTGCTAAGTTGAGATTGACTTGTGGCCACGCTTTGAAGATTAAAAGGGCTTTTTTTCATTTTGGGGTTGGTGGGAGGAGGAGTTGGGCTGCGAATTACTGAGCTGTGAATGAGATCCCAGGATCACTGCCCAAAAACGATGGATATCTGCTCTTTTCCCCCCACTTTTTAAAGCATTTGGTCTTGCAGCTGGAGTTTTCAGCCTGGCTGCTCACTGTGTAATGCAGGGTGATTTTTAGGCATCCAAGCAAATGACGTATTGAATGAAAAAGTAAACAAATGATTTTGTGTAGAAGTGTTTTGCCTTTGGAAAATTAAAATAGCAGCAGCTTTGGCTGAAGGGTGGGACTTTGCCTGTTTTTTGCACAGCCTGCTGGATTTTTCTGTACAGGAGTTTAGCCCACCCTTCTGAAACTATTAGCAGTCACAAAAACAGGGAGAGAAAAGTAAAATACGAGCGTGCAAACTGACTGTGTGTTGAATTTGGGACGGGAGGGACCTCAAAGCCCATGCAGACCCACCCCGTGCCTTCAGGGACATCTCCCACTGTCCCAGGTGCTCCAAGCCCTGGCCTTGGGCACTTCCAGGGGTGGGGATTTCGGGAACACAAGGGGTGGTGATGTGTTGGGGTAATTTGGGAACACACAGGGTAATGACACATTAAAGTTCTCTGCCTCTCACCCTGCTGCCAGGCTCTGCTTCTGTCTTTTCTTGGAAGACAAAGCATTTGAGCTTTTGCCTGTAAGTACAGGAATACCTGGACCTCCAGGAAGGGAGTCTGACTTAGTTTATTAACAGGGTGAATACAATAACAGGTCCCTAAAAGCACATTTTTCTCCAGTAATTTTGGAAGTGCTTTGATCTGTGCCTGTGGAGTGCAGGGCTGTGGCTTCACTATTCTTCTGTTGTTCTTTCTTGACAATGATTCCTTATTTCTTGCCCACAAATCAGCCACAGGTATTCTTAAAGGCACTTCCCTCTTGTAATTACCTTTTTACACAGAACTCTGTGTCTGCTTTGATGTACATCTCAGATCCTAGGTTCTTCTTGCAAGTATTTAAAACCATACCGTGGCAGGAGAAGTCCTAATAAACACCTTACCAATACAGGCTGTAGATGAATTAGGGATTTCAGAAAAGAAGTTTGCCACGAGGCATTGCATTGTCCAGCTGGAAATGTGGGATTCATTTGCCCCAAGGTGTCCTTTCTCTGGGAGAGGGGGATCTGTGGGCTCAGGGGGGACACCCTGAGTAGGAGCCAGGGCTGGGCATGGCTCCCTGCATTACCTGGGGAGTTTTCAGAGCAGTTCCAGTAATTCTGGTGTCCATTTGAGCCAGCACTAGGGAAGAGCAGTAGGTGTTTTCATATTGCAGCAGATCTTCTGGTAAGTGCTTTTTCAGTTCATAACTCAATAATTTACAAACACCGCTGGAAGTTCAGACTTAATGGCCGAGTCTTTCTGCCCTTCCCGGTCGTGGGTGGAAGTGGATCTATTTATTGTGCTCGTGTGTGATGCTGTTTTCTGGGTTTGCTGTGTTAAGTGTGTTCTGGAGGATGTTCATGGGAGGCTGCTGATTAAATAAGCTGATGTAAAAGATCACGTATTTGCTGTGGCTTTGGGAGGAAGAGTCCTTAAATTAGGAGATGGCTGCAGCAATGTAGTGAGGGGGCTCATTGAGCTGTCAGGAAGGAGGCATCCTCCAGCTCACCCTCAGGATGTAACAGGATGTTCTTGCAGGGGGGCTGTGCCTCTCCCTGGGCACTGCTGACTGCATCACTCTTCCTTTTGGGTGTTTTTCTTGTTCTTGCTGAAGGGTCAAAGGAGGGATTTGGTTAGCAGGTGTTTGCAGTGCCTGAGTTGCATTATTGTCATTTTGGTGATGGGACATGACCATTGTGTGGCACCCCTGTGCAGGGGGAATAGGGGACTTCAGAGAGGGATTTTATCTTGCCTGAATGCTGCAAAACTGCAGAGAATAAATCCTCAGAATAACTATTCCAGCTGGGAACACTGTCAGTAGTTTACCAGTGTGTGTCCAAGAGCAAACAGCATTTGGCTGGAGCACTCAGAAATATTGGTCCATCCTCAGACTGAACACTTGAGTGTCTGAGAAGAAGGCAGAAAATTGGATTTTCTCGTAATAATCAAAGTGAACTCCTCCTAGGAGACATTTCCAAGCAGCAGAAATACTTCCAGCAGTTTGCATTTCGGATATTAAGCAGGAAATAAAAAAGATGAGTGGCTGTGTGGGACCATCACGACCGAGCTCCCTAGGCTGAAGCAGAGTGAGATAAATCCTCTGCTGTGCCTCCCCTCCCACAGTGAAGTGCAGCCCCACACAGCTCTCAGCTCTTCATTCCCCCCTGCTGGGCTTCCACAGCTGCTCTGAAATATTCCAGTGCATTTTGAGTTGGCATTCTCCTGCAGTGTGACAGTGGCTCCAGTCCCTGCTCACTCCAGGGAGTTGTAACCCCACAAGCCACGCTTGGATCTGTCCCGACATCAACCCTGGCAGCTGGGATTGGAGTGGAGGTACCCAGATTAGCAGGTGGTTTCTTAGGATTGAGTGGAAATGCAGAGTAATCAGAAATTAATTGTTTGAATGTTGAAATTCTCCACTCACTGATGATGAATTTTGCAGCGATTAGTTTTAATTGCAAGGTAAATAGACAAGTCTTTGATTGCATACTGAAGAATTTTAATTGCATTGAACTCGGTTATACTTTGAACTGTGATGTTCAGGGCAAGAAGTATTTGAGTCCCTGGCATTGTTTAATCCAGCTATTAAAAAAACTAGTTGGATTAAACAAAAGTTGGACATTGGAGTAAAAAAGCAAGTGGTTTACTTCTTTCAAAACCTAAAGTTTTCCTCTTGCTCTTGATTGCTCAGTTCTTTAGCTCCCTGTGAGCACATCAAATACCTTGAATCTAAAACAATTTCCAGCTTTTTTTCCCCTAAAGTGTTATAGATCAATGATCTATATGATATATATATATATATATATCAATGATATATGATATATAGCCAGTCTGGCTACAGCAGTTGGTGTTTTGTGGTCTTCAAGTTTGGTGATGCTTGTGTTAATGGCTCTAAGATTTCTTTATGTTGAAATTCAGATATTTGTGTTTGTGAAAACGTTTGGAAGTCAGAAGGAGGGAAAGGATCTAATAACTGGAAAAGGAGCAAACAGAGGGGGGATCTTCTCAGCATCTCTTTGCAGTGGGGATTAGAGGCTGGCACATCCTGTGGGTCTGTGTGAGCACACACTGCACAGAGGAATCAGTGCAGATCCTTGGGTCTCTGCCAGGGATCTGAGCGAGGCATGGATGAGGAGCATGGCACGGGGCAGGCTCAGCTCTCAATTAACCGTGCCCTGCTCAGGCCTTGGCTCTGCTCTGGGGGGGGCTGGATGGAGCTGGGGGGCTGGATGGACTTGGGGGGACTGGATGGAGCTGGGGGGCTGGATGGACTGGGGGGGCTGGATGGAGCTGGGGGGCTGGACAGCACTGGCAGCCTGTCCCTGCCTCCACACATTGGGGTGCAGAAAGGGCATTTCAGGTACGGTGAGCTCACCTTCATGCCCTGGAGCTCCGTGTTCCTGGCCTGCTCTGGGTTGGGTGCAAGGGGTGGAGTTGCTGCCGGTAAATCCAGGCAGGAGCTGCTCACTGGGAAATGGGGATGGGTAAAATGACAAGGTGATGTTGAGGAGTGTAAGGACAGCCTTAGGCAGGGCTGTGCTCCCACAGAAGGGCAGTGGTGCAAGGAGGAGATCCATGGGAAGCAATTTTAGAATCCTTGAATTGTTTGGGTTGGAAAAGATCTTTAAGATCAAGTCCAGTCTTTAAGCCAGCACTGCCACATCCACCACTGAACCATGCCCTGAATGCCACATCTCCATGGCTTTTATACACCTGCAGTGTACCTGCACTCACCCACTTCCCTGGGCAACCCGTTCCAGTGCTTGGCAACCCTGGTTTTATTTCTTGTTGGTTTTGTTGTTGATTCAAGGCTTTCACTTCTTCTCCTGCATCCCTTTCCGTCCCGCTTTGCCCTGTGCCCATCATTGCTACTCAGCGTTTTCCACTGGGGAAATGGAGGAGCCCAGCACAGTCCTGGCGTGTTTCGGTTCCCTGTGAGGTTGTGGATCACTGACCCTTGTTTCAGGGAAGAGCTCTGAGGTCAGGGATCTCTGGAAAATCTGTCCAGTTTGCTGATAAAAACATTTCCGCGCGGTTTGCACCAGGGAGGCTCACGGAGGAGCGCCCAGAGAAGATCCCTGTCCTGACTGCAGCTGCTGCTGGAAGTATTTGTGCCATCTGGGGGCTCTGGCTGGCTGTTCTCCCCGTGATTTCGTGGCTGAGCTGAAGCTCCCGGGCCAGGCTGCTTTGCGTAAACCCCGCGGAGGCGTGGAGTAACGGGGGAGTAACCGAGGAGTAACCAGGTGCTGCCTCCTGCCCTGCCCTTGTGTAAGCGTGGGCTGGGAGCGGTTACACAATGGGCAAGTACAAAAGGAGTATAAAAGTGCTCCTGGGGGATGAATGTCTGCATCCTCCAGGCTGCTGCTGCTGCGGGAGCTGCCTCCGAGAGCTCGGTGCAGGTTTGCCTCGGTGGGGGTGGTTGCCAAAATTCAGCTGCTTTGGTGTTGGCATTGTGAAATAAGAAACTTTAAAAACTTGTGTTTGCAGGTGTTAATAGCTAACTTTCCGTGTCTTAAAGGTTTGAGGGCTTAATTTCTCATTTTAAAATTGCTGTCAGTGTGAAAAGAGGTATTTACTGTTTCAGAAGTGTTTGCTCTCTTCTGTTTATCTGTAAACTTTGCTTTCCTTTTAATCTTTAAAACGGGACAAATGTATATGATATTTCTGTAGTGAAAGAGATTTCAAGAAAGTCTGAGCACAAAGGTACAACGTCTTGGTTAGTTTCTGAAAGTTGATTAAGTCCAAATCCTAATAAGTTATGCTGAATGGAAGTGTTTATTTCCAGACAAGCCTAACAGGTAACTCAGTGTAGAACTTTTCAAATGTGGGGTCTGTTGCTGGCTTTGTATTGATCACTGGGCTCAAGCTGTTCCCTTCCCAAAGGAGCCACAGGGATGCCTCAGCCCTTGGGAAGGAGCTTCACATGCAGAGCTGAAAAATTGGCACATTACCTCGATTTACTTAATAAATGGAATTTTTCCTAGATGAGTCTCTAACTCCACCTTTGTTTTAACGTGATTAAAGTCTTGGAAAGAAGGGAGCTTTCATCAAAGTGCCAAGTCCAAGTACAAAGCAGGCTGAGAAAGGAGCCAGTGTGAGCTCAGGTTGCTTTGGGGGCCGTGAAGGAGCTTAACGAGCTGTGCATTAATATCAGTAATAACAGCGAGCTGTCGGAATGCCCAAATTATTAAATCTCCCCAGGGAGACCGTAAGGACTCCATAGCATTAAAATCAAATTACTGTGTGCCATACACTGCGAGGTGTGCTGAGCTCAGGGCAGACTGAGGGAGCAGTGAGACAGGGTTTAATTTTTATTTACCCTCAGTCTGGAGAGCTCTGCAGGTGTCAGCTCCCAGCAGTGGCTGCTGAATTGTCATTTCCCACCTTCTGCTTGCACTTCTTTGGAATTTCATCTCACAGCTTCTCATCCCTGCCCACTGGTGGGGTCTCTGGGAGGGTGGCAAATGCACTGCGCAGAATTTGGGCAAAACTGCTGCCTTTTGGGACAAGAAAATGGGAGACATGGGGTGAAGGATGATGAGTGGGAGCTGCTTGGCCAGCAGTGTTCTGATCAAACACCCTGCAGGGTGACTGATGCTGGAAACACCCAGATATTCTGGTTTAGAATCAGCTATTTTGGTTTAGAATCAGCTCTTCTGGTTTAGAATTTTCAGCTATTCTGGTTTAGAGTTTTCAGCTCTTCTGGTTTAGAATTTTCAGCTCTACTGTTTTAGAGGTTTCATCTCTTCTGTTTTAGAGTTTTCAGCTCTTCTGGTTTAGAGTTTTCAGCCCTTCTGGTTTAGAGTTTTCACCTCTTCTGCTTTAGAATTTTCAGCCCTTCTGTTTTAGAGTTTTCAGCTTTTCTGGCTTAGAATTTTCAGCTCTTCTGGTTTAGAATCCCAGCCTAACTAAGCTCTCAGTTCATAACTTGACTAACCAAACTTGTGGGTTTTGAAAGCTGTGAGATCCTTTGGTAAACACCTCATTCAGCTGGGTTTAAGTCCCCTTCTCAAGAAGCTCATTGACACAGGAAGTTAATGAGATTTAGCTAATGTGCTTTAAATACATGGAAGGTTTGAGCTCGGCGTAACTTTCCTGCTTAGCTTTGTGCAGACTTGCCCTAATAACGTTGGTCAGTTATTAAAGCACCGTTCTGGATGGCAGTCAAAATCCCAACTACTTAAAAATTCATTAGTGCCTCCAAAGAAAGAATATGTTTGTGCTTTGAAGAGCTACTTCGAAGTGAACAGGGAAGCTTCTTAAAGTGCCCATCAGCTTAAATAAATTGAGTTTTTTAGAACTCAGATGTTAGGAAGTTTGGGTATGTAGCAGCATTTTGTCTCTGCTGCAGGTAAAGATGAACTGTGTGGTGTTAGTTAAATTTGGAGTCTGCTTTTCTTGTTGTGAGTGGGGGGAAATCTCTGGAGTGTTTAGGATGTGGTGGCATTTCAGTGCAGCTTCAGTTGGTGGGGAGGAACTGGAGAGGCCCCTGCTGAAGGTAAATCAGGAGTTTCCTGGGACCAAAGAGGCTGCTCCAAACTCTCCAAGAACAAAAAACCCTTCAAGACTGAAGCAGGAGGGTAGAGAAAATTAAATGTGTGGGTTCTGGGCACCTTCTTCACATCTGTGAGGTGGTGAAAATGCCCTGGAAGGCAGAAAAATGCCTTTGAGGCACTGCCTGCCTGTGTGGACAGTGGGTGGGACCTCGCAGGTGCAGTATCCAGGCTCAGATCTGGGATGGAGCAGCGTGGAGCAGTTGGATTTGTGGTTGTGGTTCTGCAGACAGCACTTTGATTGCATCCTTCAAGTATTTATTGAGCTTTTTTAACCTGGGTGATGAGAGGTTTGTGGAATGTTTTTAACTGGGGAGAACCTTTTTTCCTAGGAAAACCTCCAGCACCCTTTGGACACCTCCGAGTAGCAAAGTTCTCTTTTGAAGGGAGTCCATGTCCCTTTCCACATCTCTGCTGCCCAAAATCCAATCTCAGGCCTAGAGGATGCCTTGGTTGTGTTAAAACACATCATGTGCCCGAGTTCCAGAGGTGCCAAACACTTGGAAGTGCCAGGGAGGTGCTGAAATTCCAGAGGCACCTCAAGTGGGACAAATGCTGGCTGAGCATCATCTCTGCTTGCAGGAGAAAGTTGGTCTGTTCACATGAGCCTGACAGCTCATTAAAATAATAAATTGATGATGGTAATTAAGCAGTGACCTTAATTTGATTCTAATCTCCTTAGTGGGTGCGACAGCCAGAGGTTTTTTGGCTCTGCAGCCGTCTGTGACAGCCAGAAAGGTCCTGGTCCTGTGCCACCACTCCTTCCCCAGGGGGTGTGACATGGGACAAACCCAGGCGTGGGCTGTCCCATCCCCAGCTGCTTTTGTTTGTTGTGCTTCCTTTGGGAATATTCCCCTTGTGCAGCAGGGAAGGGCCACCAAATTCAGGCCAGTCCCTGATTCCCCGCAGGGCCTGGCTGGGGACCAGGGCAGGGATTGTCTGAAGGGACTGGGAAAGTCTGAAATTATTTTGGTTGTCACTAAGTGGTGGGCTCGGCTCAGCTGAGGGAAATTTAGGATCCAGCTGGAATTCAGGCTGTGTGGTTTTAGAAGGTTTTTGGTTTGAGTTTGGCAGATAAGGGAATACACAGGGCTGCATCCTTTCACTTGGAAAAAACTGTAATTTTCAGGGCTGGAAGTCGTGGGGGAGCCTGAGCTTCCTCCAGAGGGTTAACCTCTGGGTCTGCTAATTGCAAACGAGCAATCAACAGCACTGCCATGTCCTGAGCATGACCATGCCCAGTCCTGCTGCTGCCAGGCCAACAGCACCTGGCAAAGCATTGGCTCTTCCTAAGAGGAGGTGAAAAAAAACCCAAATCAACCCAAACTGAGAGAAGAGCCCCAAGAACTTGCCAGTTGCCAGGAATGTCACAGCCTGGAGGTCAGGTGGGCTTTGTTTTCCCCAGTCTTTGCTTTGCCAGGCTCTGGATTCAAATATTGATGCTGAAGGCCTTCAGCAGTGTAGGGAGGAGCTGCACAGCAGCAAATCTGATCCAGGGAATATTTGTGGTGTGCTTCAGCCAAAAGCTGTATGCAGTGCTTTGAAAGGAAACAGTGCACGTAAGGGAGGTGTCTGTGTCCCCCCCTGTGGGGGTTCATGGCCAGTTTTCCCTCCTGTGGCAATTTATTTATGGCAATTTAATTTATGGCAATTTGTTTTCCCTGCCAAAACCCTTTATGTCTGTCTGCACCTTCTGTCCTGCCCAGGTTAACCCTTGGATCTACTGAAGAGTTGAGCTGTGAAGGGATTTTTTACAGCTGGGTACCTGGGGAAGTGGGAGCTTTTCAGGGGCAGATTTTCCTGTAGGAAAACCTTTGTGCTCCACTGCATGTTTTTATTTGTGGTGGAGGTTCCAGAGCAGAGACTTGTAGGGACAAAAAAGAGCATTTAAACAGTCTTGCATCACAGATCTCCGTATCTCTGATGGGTTTTATCTTTTTTTCCATGAGCTTTGCAGCACATCCTGATTTGTTTGAATGAAATAGCAGCGACCTGGCAAAAGGGAAGATGTGGTGGGTGGTCCTGGAAGCAGATGTTGTGTCAGACCAGACCCTGCCACCTCTTCCTGTCCTCTCCTGGTGGCTCTGAGGCTGGAGGAGCTTTTTGCTGGAGAACAGCAGATGCTGGAGGTGCAGAGTGGCCTCTCCCTGCCCAGGAGGCTTTTCCTCCTGAACTTGCACCTGGGCTCTCTCCTGCCCTTTGTGTAAATCCTAATCTAATCTGCAGCACTGTAAAGCCCTGGCCTTCTGTGTTAAACACAGGTGTTCCCTGGAGTAATTCATGTGGGAAGGTGAGTCCTGGCACAAGTTTCCCTTCCAGCCTTTCCACTGGACCCCAGCCTGCAGGTGATGGGTTGTACTGAGTTTACCTGCCCCTGCTGAATAGGTTTTATCTCTTCTGTTTTATCTCTTTCTGCAGGGTTTGCCAGCTTCTGAGGAGCTGGATTTGCTCTGGAGGGCAGTAAAAATGCCTGAGTCGAGGTGGGACACAGGGGCTGATAAGGAGGGAGCTCTCCCAGATAGCTCCAGGCAGCAGCAGGGTTTGTCTTCTCCTCTTTGACACTCCTGATGGCAGAATCAAAGCATTCCAGAAACCTCTGATGGTCATCTGTGCCATTAAGTGCAATTTTAATTGCTGGGTAGAAGCAAGAAGAGCTGGGAAATTCCTTCTCCTGGTTTGTCTTGGAGCAACCCCTGGTGACACAAACCCTCCCTCTCTTTAGGAAAAGCAGCAGTGAGGGGTTTTGACCTGTGAATTGGGAGTTGCCTCTTTGGGAATTGTTTTTTCAGCTATGGAGTGTCAGCTCTCAGCCATCCCTGGATCCAAGGCAAGCCTTGCTGCTGTCCTGCTTTGCTCCAGGCCTGGAGAAGCCAGCAGCCCTGCTGTTGTGCAGGGTGGCAGAGGTGCTGCTCAGTGCCAGGGCACCTTAGAGCAGATGCTGGGCCTGGCAGCTTCCCTGGCTCACATTTCTTTATTGCTTCTGGCTCAGGGAGGTGTCCTGCTGCCCTTTCCCTTCCCAATCCCAGAGGATCAAGCTGCCAGACTCAACCTCGCCCGTCTCCATCTCTGATTTTCTTGGAGAATAAAACACGTCTGCAATGACAGAAAAAGGCAGATTCTTTTCTCTTTTTTCTTGTGTGCTAGGAAAAAAAAAATCCAAACCTCATTGCCCTACAGTGAAAGCAAACAAAAATCCCCTCCAAAAATCCCAGCCCAGACCCCCCAGTGCCCCCAAACCTTTAACCTTTAACCAGTGCCTGCCTCCTCTCTGCCCTCAGCTGCTCTTTGAAGAGGAGCTCTGTGAAAATGGCAGTGACAGGTTTTTCCCAGAGCAAGACAGTGAGTGTTCAAACCATTCTCCTTCAGTCTTCAAGTGAGAAATAATTAATTATGCCACCCTAATATTTACTCTCATAAACAAACTTAACTCTGATTTGTAGGCGCTGCCTTCCATCCCATCTTGATTTAATTAATGCTTCAAAGGGATCTCAGTGCCCAAATTGTCTTTTTTATGCAACTTTTCAGGAGATACCTACGTTGCTTTGAAAGTTTTAATATTTCTTTCACCTCAAGGAACCAGAATTTCCCAGCAAATGGGCAATTAACATCTGTTAAGATGTTCTGAAATATTAGTATTCATATGTTAGTGCAGTCCTGAACTGCCCTCAGCAGAAGAGTCTTTCCCAAGTTCAGTTATTACTGCAATTACAGTAGGCAGGAGCTGCTGGCATTTCCTGAGCAGCATCTGGAAGGGAGACCTCAGGAAAAACCCAAGTTCTGCTTCTTTTTTTCCAATCCAGACCTGTATTTGAGTGTCCATGAGCTGTGTTTCCACCTTAGGGTTCAGCTGAACCCATCATTAACTTGCTTGTGAAGTAACTCCAGTGTGAGTGGCTTCTGCTGCTTGGATGGGTGCAGAAAATTCCACTTTTTGTGGCTTTCAAGAGGCCATTTTTGCAGGTTCTGTCCTGTTCTTTCACCTGTACCTGACCTGGTTTCACCTGCAGATGTTGGCAGCTGCATTCTCTGTTTAAAGCTCAGTAACCACAGGTTGCAAAACTTGGATTTTCTGTGCTGTCTTGTAGGGAGTTTAGGTTCAAATATGTTAATTCCTGTTCTTTTCTCTTGGAAATGGAAAATGTGGGATAACAGTGGACTGGCTGGTGTGATTTAAGGAGCAAATGTGGGAAGATTGTACTGGAGTGACCCACTGAGGTGTCTGATCTTTCCAGTTCCTGTGCCAGGAGGGAAGTGAAACTCATTGAAATACAAAGTTTATCCTCAAACAGTTCCTTCAGCAGCAGGAACTGTGCTTGGAGTGTTCTTCATACAGCTGAGAATTTTGGGGTGAGGAACAAACTCAGGACCTTCAGGTGATGAGACTGACTTTATTTCCCTCCTAAAAAAAAATCCCAATTTGTCCCTTCCCTCCCAGGAGCCGTTGATGGGAAGGACACACTGATGTCCCAGCTGGATTACTGAGCTCCTCAGTGCCTCCTGGAGCTGCTGCTGCTGCAATAAAGAGCTGTCCTTCGTTCTTGGCCTGTCCCAGAGGCACCTCCTGGGTGCTGCATGCAAGTCCTGGACGTGCTGGAAACCATGGGGATTGGCAAGAACACCACGTCCAAGTCGGTGGAGGCAGGAGGAGGCTCCACGGAGGGCAAATACGAGGATGAGGCCAAGCACCCCACCTTCTTCACCCTGCCTGTGAGTCAGCCCAGAAAATAGTGCTCCAGTTGTGGTGTACAAACCCTTCATTTCCATGGGCAGTGACAAAACTCTGAATATCTGTGTGTAACACAGCAACCTTGCTGTGTGTGCTCATTCCCAGGACGGGCAGCAGCCCATGGTCAGAGCACCATGGAGGGCAGATAGGAGGATGAGTCCAAACACCTCACCTTCCCATGAGTGACCCCAGGGCAGAGATTGATGCTCCAGGTGTACAAACCCTTCATTTCCACGGGCAGTCAGTGACAAAGCTCTGAATATTTGTGTGTAACACAGCCAGCCCTGCTGTGTGTGCTCATTCCCAGGACAGGCAGCAGCCCATGGTCAGAGCACCATGGAGGGCAGATAGGAGGATGAGTCCAAACACCTCACCTTCTTCACCCTGCCTGTGAGTGAGCCCAGCCCTGTAGGCAGGGGATAATGCTCCAGTTGTGGTGTACAAACCCTTCATTTCCATGAGCAGTCAGTGACAAAGCTCTGAATATTTGTGTACAGCACAGCCAGCCCTGCTGTTACAAAAATGCCTTGCCATGCTCCTCATGCTTTCTGACTAAATGTCAGAGCCAGATGTCAAGTACCAAGAGAGAAAACTGACACACGAGGTGTGATGGCAGAGGAAATGTTGATTTTAAAAACTTCACCTATTTCTCTTCTTGCTCCCTCTTTAAGGTTGTGATAAACGGCGGAGCCACGTCCAGCGGCGACCAGGACACGGAGGACACGGAGCTGATGGCCATCTACACCACAGAGAATGGCATAGCAGAGAAGGTACTGGGGCTGCCCTGCTGGCTGGGAGCTCACTCTTGCTCTCTCAGCTCCTGCTTTGCCCTGGCTGGGAGGTTTCCTGTCCCAGAGCTGCTGACTTGCAGATCCACATCTCCCCGGGCAGTTCTGCCCTCGTGACTCCTGGTCACACACATTGGGTGCAGCTCTTGGGGCATGACTCAGGAAGTGGTGGGAGCAGTTCATGCCCTTGGTTGGGATTTTTCCAGCTTTTTTCTCCATTCTTTCATTCCCTAGGTCTGTTCAGTGATGATCCTGCAAGCTGAGATGGTGTGAATCTGAGCTTTTGTTTAAAATAAGGATGAGGATTATGGTAAATCTGAACTTCTGAAATTCTGGCTTTTTTGTCTGAAAAGGCTCAGCCTGACCCAAGTTTTTCAAATGTCCTGATTGAAACAGGAACAAAACTCCTGGTTCCAAGCAGGGTCACCACGATGCTCCTCCCTTCGAGGCCATGGTTTCTCTTGGGGCAGGGATGACACCAGGGGATGCAGTTAATGTTTTCACTCCTGAATTTCAGGTTTAAAGCATCCCCTGAGCAGCCAGAGGTCTGTCAGTGCTGGGCTCCAGGGGAGCCTGGGCCTGGTGCCCTCCCAGCTCTGCCCAGGTGTCTCACTCACATTTCATGGACAGCTTCTTGTTCCCTCTGAAAGCCTTTGGTTTTTGGAGCATGCTGGGGCTGGAGTGGAGAGCACAATCTGATAAAAGCCTTGAGCCAGAGGTGTTTGGGTGGAGTTGTGCAATGAGATAAGCCATCTCCAGACACCAGAGTGTTCCTGCTTCTCCCAAACGTGTGCTTCCCTCCCTCCCAGCTGGCCCACGGGATCAGAACTGTGGGTGATGGAGAATAATTCACCCAAAGGAGACCTTGAGCTGTGGAGTGAGCAGACCTGCCTTGAGTTAAAGCTTTGCTGTGGCTGCCAGTGAAGGATCAGGGTGGGGAGCCCTGGCACGGGTGCCCCCAGCAGCTCTGGCTGCCCCTGGATCCCTGCAGATGCCCAAGGCCAGCCTGGATGGGGCTTGGAGCACTCTGGGACAGTGGAATTGTTGTTTTCATTGTTTTCTCCAGAAATCTCAAAAAAAAAGCTCTCAACCCACAACCTGATCCAAAATAAACCCCTCACTCAGCTAAACCATCACCCTGTTCCTTCCCTCGTGGCAACAAAACAGTTTTGGCTTCCTTTGGTGTTTTAAATTAGTAGGATATTGTTTAATAATAAATCCAGAATTATCCCATAGGACAGAAAATGAAAGATGCAGTTCCTAAATGTGTGGGAATTGTTCAGGACATGCAAGGAATGTGTCCCTGCCCATGGCAGGGGTGGCACTGGGCCTTGCAGCCCAGCCAGGGGAGGGCCAGGCTGGACATCAGGAGGAATTTTTCTGTGGAAAGGGTGGCCACGGGTTGGAAGGGGCAGTGATGGAGTCCCCATCCCCAGAGATGTTAAAAAATATGTGGATGTGGCAGTTGGAGATGTGGTTTGGTGATGCTGCTGTGCTGGTGGTCAGACCTGAGGATCTGAAAGGGCTTTTCCAACCTCAGCCATTCCATGGTTCAAATTCCTCATTTTTTTTTTCCACGTGTTTTTTGTAGAGAATTGGCTCAGGAGGGAGTTTGTTCCTTTTCCAGTCCATGAAAAGCTGTCACTGGTGCTGCAGGAGGGGAGGGCACTGCTCAAAGTGCTTCCAAGACTTCTCTCAAATGGGACTTTCTGTATTTTGGGAAATGTGTTCTGTACATTTCTGCTGCAACCCCCTCGACCTCCCCGCAGCCCTGCGCCCACCTGCCCCCCCTGGGTGTGAATTTCCCCAGGGGATTTCTTTTCCCAGCAGAAGGCTGAGGTGGGAGGGCAGTGCCAGGCTCACTTTGGCTGGCTGGCCTTGCAGGTGGCACCGAGTGCGGGTCACCGTGGATTTGGGGGTTTTTTTGGGAGAAGTGGAGACCATTTGGGGCAGTCACGAGTCTGGCAGAGCTCCCAGGCTCTGTGTGAGGCAGCTTCACGTGGGCTCAGAGTGTCTTGGGCTGGATTAGGGCAGAGCAGCTGTTGTGTAAGGTGATTTTTTAGCTACTTGGTCTGAAATGACAAAATCTGATACTTCCTCCTGCTTCTGTTGTTGTGCTGGGGCTTTGGAGCATTGTGGCTTTGTTGTCAGGGATTTCCAGAGCAGATTCCACTTCTTTGGAACAGAGAAAAGCAGATTTCCCTGTTTCATCTGCAGGGGTGTTGATGTGTGAATGTCTGTGCTCACTTGTCCATTGGCCTTGCCTGAATTCCTGGGGAATTGAAATTCCTGGAGGAATTCTGCTTGGCTGACAGAAATTGGTTAGGGATTAATTTGGGTGTAATAATTAGCATTTTTCCTGACTGCATAAAGTGAGGGGGAAGAAGGGAAATTATAAATTCTTTGGCTAAAAGTGGTTAACCAAGATGGAATTGGGTAAGAGCAAAGCAGGGAAGCAATTATCATAATGAGGATTTATTTTTGCCAGTGATGCAAGGACAGAGCTCTTCTTCTTAGTTCCAATTCTTCCCTGTTTTCTTTTTCTGTTTGTTTTTGTGGTTTGGGGTTTGGTGGGGTTTTTTTAACAACCTTGTCATGATGAATCCATTTTTGGGCACCTTTTGGCTGCTAGATCAGTTCTGTCATAAATCAGCAATTATAAATAAATAAGCAGGGAGTGTTCAGAAGGGAACATGCTGGCTACAAATTCAGGAGCTGGATGTGAAAGGCTTTGAAATTGTCACAAATCAGCGTTGCTGAAGCAGCCTTGGAGTGGCTGGCTGTTGAAATTCCCTTTATTCTGTGCAGCACTAACCTGCTGGTGCCCCTTGCTCCTGCAGAGCTCCCTGGCAGAGACCCTGGACAGCACTGGCAGTTTGGATGCCCAGAGGACTGACATGATTTACACCATTGAAGATGTTCCTCCCTGGTACCTCTGCATCTTCCTGGGCTTGCAGGTACATCCCCAAACACAGACAGCTTTTTCTTCTGTAGCTTTCAAATTTTATTAAGGATTTTCTGTGCAGTTCGTTGTGGTTGTGTGTTTTATCCTTCTCCACTCCCACCTGCTTGAGGAAGGTGTTGGGAGGTTTCTTCTGAGGCTGATCACACTCAGATCATTGCTCTGAGAGTGATTTTGAAGTTGGTGTTGGGAGGTTTCTTCTGAGGCTGATCACACTCAGATCATTGCTCTGATTTCAGTTTTCAGCATTTGTGGGAGTCACTCAAATATTTATTGAGTTACAAGCTGCTGTTGCTAAATGAGAGAGCAAAGGCTCAGGGGAGGCCTTCACATTGGGCACCTCTGGAGTTAAAAATGGGGAGAGAGAAGGGTTTAGACCTGAAATATTGAATATTAAAGCTGCTACTGCATTTATTTCAGTCCTGAGAGCACCACCCTGCACCTGGCTTGCCAGGGAGGCCCCTTGCAGCACAAGCAGGTGCTTCCTCCAGCTCAGCCCCTGCCTGTGGGCAGCAGAGCAGCTCCAGTCCCATCTCCTTCCCTTCTCCAGTGGGAATAACATCTGGCCCACAGGAATGCTGAGAATTTGGTCATCTCTGTGAAGGACCTTGAGATCTCCAAACACACACATTCCACAACATCCTTTTTGTTGCTGCCTTTTCCTCAAGGACAGGCAGTTCTGTAGGAATTCTGTTTTTACTTGTGTGTGGAGTATGGTGAAGATTTGTTGGTTGTTTTGCTTTTGATGTGCTTTAGGAGTCCTTTGTGTGTGAGCCAGGGGGTGTGAGTGGAGTTATTTCTGGGCTGGAGACAGCTCTCAGCACAGTTACCTGAGCAGCTGTGGAGTGTTTCAGGAGCCTGTGGATCCCCCAGAAATCACAAAAATCAGAACCCCCCCACATCAGCATCACCAGAAACACTTGAAAGCAAAGCTCAGAGCTCTGCTGGGCCTTCAGAGGCAGGAAGAGAAGCTGCTGCTGGCCCAGCAGTCACACAGCAGGTGGGGATGGGCTGGATGGATGGTCTGCAGCTCTAACCCCTGTGCCCCCAGCACTACCTGACGTGTTTCAGCGGGACCATCGCCGTGCCCTTCCTGCTGGCCGATGCCATGTGCGTGGGCTTCGACCAGTGGGCCACCAGCCAGCTCATCGGGACCATCTTCTTCTGCGTGGGCATCACCACCCTGCTGCAGACCACCTTCGGCTGCAGGTGAGCCTGGGCACGGGAATTTGGGGGTTCCAGGGCAGAGGGGTTCCTGGGAGAGGGAAAATTCACACATCTTGGTAAAGAGGGGCAGACCACCTTGGGCTGCAGGTGAGCCTGGGCACTGAAATTTGGGGTTCCCAGGGCAGAGGGGCTCCTGGGAGAGGGAAAATTCACACATCTTGGTAAAGAGGGGCTGACTGTGGTGGTTTTATTAATCTCTGCTGCAGACCACCTTGGGCTGCAGGTGAGCCTGGGCACCGAAATTTGGGGTTCCCAGGGCAGAGGGGTTCCTGGGAGAGCAGAAATTCACACATCTTGGTAAAGAGGGGCTGACCGTGGTGGTTTTATTAATCTCTGCTGCAGACCACCTTGGGCTGCAGGTTTGATCTGGGCATGGAAATTTGGGGATTCCAGGGCAGAGGAGGCAGAAGTGTTCCTGGGAGGGAGAGGAAAAATCCACACACCTTGGTAAAGAGGGTCTGACCGTGGTGGTTTTATTAATTTTTGACTGCAGGTGAGCCTGGGCACGGAAATTTGGGGTTCCCAGGGCAGAGGGGTTCCTGGGAGAGCAGAAATTCACACATCTTGGTAAAGAGGGGCTGACCGTGGTGGTTTTATTAATCTCTGCTGCAGACCACCTTGGTTTTAAAATGGGATCTGGGCATGGAAATTTGGGGTTCCCAGGAGTGGGGGGGATTTGCAGAAACACCAAACTGCCAGCAGCAGTTAGGGAGAGCTTTTGGAAAGCTGCTCCCAAAAAAAAAACCAAAACATGGATCTGAAATAACACAGGGCATCCCAGGGGTGAGAAAATACAGCAGGGAGAGGAGGAAACCCAGCAGAACAGAGAAATATTCCTGGGAGAGGAAAAATTCAGACACCGTGGTAAAGAGGAGCTGACTGTGGTGGTTTTATTAATTTCTTACTAAATTAATTAATTTCAATGAAATTCTTGGCAGTTTTTAGGTGGCTGTGATCAGTCCCACAGCAAATTGCATCCTGTGAAGGGCTTGGCAAGTGAAAAAAGCAGGGAAATATGATGAGGGAAGCTTGTCATTCTCTGTTACCTCCCAGTCCATGAAATAATTTGGGTTTATTTGTTAGCTGCTCTGAGTTGTGATCATTCATATGGGCAGTGATCATTCCTGGAGTTTGGAACACACACAAAGGTGTGCAGGGATGCTCTCACCTCTCCTTAGGAGGATGGAAGAGCCCAGGTGGCAAATCCTTGTATAAATCTGGTGTTGGCAAGAACAGATAAATATAAATACAAATATAAATGTAAATAATATAAATAATATAAATCTTTCCAAACCTGTGTTCCACTGCACAGCTGTTTCACATGGCAGTAGCTCAAACCTGCAGAGTTATTTCTGTGTCTTGAATAAAGCCAAAGCAGAAGAAAAGTGCACATTTAACCCTCACTGAGGTGATTCTGGAGTCACTCAGTTCACTTTCAGAACAAGGTGAGCTGAAATCCTGCCTGCCACTAGAAAATTCCAAACACCCCCCACATTTTTAAGGATTTAGTTAAGAGCCAGAATCTTCAGGTGGCAGAGGTGTCTCAGGAGGGCGTGGAAGGCAAACCTGTGGTGGATCAGCTTTTCTCCTAAAACATTCCCAGCTATTCCAGGTTTTCCAGTGCACCCTTTGGTTGAGTTACCTTTGCTTCACTTTTTCCTTTGGGGAAAAAAAACCTTCCCTCTATTTTTTTTAATCTTATTGGACTCAGGAGCTCACTCCTCTGTCTTGAAAGGTTCACTCTGATGGCAAAACAACAGAGTGGAAGCTGTTGGGAAAGCAAACTTTCTTTCCCCAGTGTATTTTCTTTAACTAAAGACTCCCCAGAGTCAATAATCTGATTTCCAGCCTGGTTGGCTCTTTGTGCTGTAGCCATAAATCCTCATGTACCTCGTCTGGAAGTTTGTCATATTTGGGGATTTTCCCCTCCTAACTAATCTTGGCTTTTTATCACTTATTAGTAAGGGATTTGGGGCTCATTTAGAGAGAAGGGCCCCACAATTACAGTGCCATCATTTTGAAATTCTCTGTTCTTTCTGTGTAATCCCAGCCCTGCCCTCCACCTTGCTGGGATTTTTCCCTTTTCAGTGGCTCCCACTTGCACTGTACTTACATTTTCATGTCCCTGAAGGCCAAATTGTGTTTGGGTCTTACAATAACTTGTGTTTAGGGAGGAAATTTCCACTCTGGGATGTTTTATAACTATTGCCCATGTGATGGGGGGTTTATGTAAGGCTGGGAATGGGATACAGCAGCACAGGCCTCTCAATGAGATTTGCAAGTATTCATTGGCAAGTCTGTGAACTGCAAAGTATTTCAGCAAATAAAGCTTTCAAAAGGTCAAATTCCACGGTTTAAGGGTTCTTAAAGGTGGATTTAGCTCGATTACGAGGTGGGGTTGGGGTAGGTTGGGTACCCAGACCAGTTCTAGGAATTCCAGCTATTCACTGGGTTGTGCAGTGAGCCCCAGCTCTGGCAGGGTTCATTAGTGGGTAATTAGTGGCACTGAGAGCATCAAACTCAGCTTTAATCCACGCCAGGGTGGCAGCTCTGGTGCTGTGCCCTGCACTGGCTCAGCTCTCTCCCATCTCTGGGACATGGGAAGGTAGTGAGGCATTTCCAGATGCCTTTGCCTGCAGAAAAACTCTTTTCTTCACAAGGGCCCGTGCCAAAATGGAGCAGCTGGATGATTTAGACACGAAATTGAAATGATAGCCCACTCAGGAGCTTTGGTGCTTTAGCTGGTTGGCAATGAGTGGCTGCTTTGAAAATCTGTAAGTGACTCCCAGACTGCAGCTGTCACCTGAGAAAGAGACAGACCTTGCTTGACTGATTTTCAACAATTTGTTTTAAAAAAAATTAAAATTAAATTACTTTTTGTTTGCCTGGTTTAGGGGGAAAAATCCCCACTATTTTGAGCCTTTTGGGAGTTACCTGTGTCCCACAGAAGTGGAGCAGGACCAGGTGCTGAGATGTGATTTTCCATCCCTGTGCTGGATGTGTTTCATGGGATGCAGAGCAGCCCAAGCTGGCAGCAGTGACCTCAGCACTGGAGAATGTGTTTGCAGTGTGTGTTTACCAAACTCTGAGGGGGCTGTGTAGGTGGGATGGAGCAGTAGCAGCTTGTTCCAGGTATTGCAACCCTGCCATGGGCACCAGCTCTGCTTAATGAGCCTGGCAGCATGGGCTGAATCACTCCCTGAGCCACCAGCCCTGACTTCCTGGAGACAGAGCTGGGATTTCTGCGTGGAGCAGCTCCCAGGGGGATTCTGTCCAGCCAGCCATGCTTGGATGGCTCATGGACTTCATGGAGTTTGAGTTTTTAATGCACTTTTCAACATTTGGTGGCTCTGAAATTGCCCAAGCTGCTCCTGTGAACTTGACACCTCCCATTAATGAGAAGCCTCTGTTTGACTCCTGTGCTCACCATTTCCCCCCACACTTCTCCCCCTGTGAGCATTTCCTGACCTTCACCTGAACCTGAGCAGTTCATTTTCCTGCCCTCACACCTTGGGATCTCCTGTTAAAGGGAATCTCCTGGCAGTGCACTAATGTCAATATTTGTAGAATAGTTCAGAGTGCATCTGCAGTTAAGTAATGTTGGGATATTTGTTACACAAGGTACAGTGAGGTCAATAAATTCATACCTGCTGCAGGTAATCCTCTCCAGATCTCCAAATCTTTTGGGAAGTATAAACATCAATGCTAAGAATGTCATCTTGAAATTCTTGTGGTGTTTGTATTTATTGGTGGCAACCACTGGGAACATCTAATCTGCTGCCATCAGCCCAGCAGTTATTGACACATGCACTCCAAAATGAGTGTGCTCAGAGTCATGCAGAGGGAAGGGATGGAGCCTGCAGGCTGCACTTCAGAGGGTGTTCTGTGCTGGGGTGGTAAAAACTGCACTTTCAGAGGGTGTTCCTGTGCTGGGGGGGTAAAAACTGCACCTTGAGAGTGTGTTCCTGTGCTGGGGTGGTAAAACTGCACCGCCAGAGTGTGTTCCTGTGCTGGGGTGGTAAAACTGCACCGCCAGAGTGTGTTCCTGTGCTGGGGTGGTAAAACTGCACCGCCAGAGTGTGTTCCTGTGCTGGGGTGGTAAAACTGCACCGCCAGAGTGTGTTCCTGTGCTGGGGTGGTAAAACTGCACCGCCAGAGTGTGTTCCTGTGCTGGGGTGGTAAAACTGCACCGCCAGAGTGTGTTCCTGTGCTGGGGTGGTAAAACTGCACCGCCAGAGTGTGTTCCTGTGCTGGGGTGGTAAAACTGCACCGCCAGAGTGTGTTCCTGTGCTGGGGTGGTAAAACTGCACATCCAGATAGCAATTCCTGTGCTGGGGATGGTAAAAACTGCACCTCCAGAGAGTGTTCCTGTGCTGGGGTGGTAAAACTGCACCTCCAGAGTGTGTTCCTGTGCTGGGATGGTAAAACCTGCACCTTGAGAGAGGAGTTCTGTGCTGGGATGGTAAAACTGCACATCCAGAGGGTGTTCCTGTGCTGGGGTGGTAAAAACTGCACCTTGAGAGTGTGTTCCTGTGCTGGGATGGTAAAACTGCACATCCAGATAGCAATTCCTGTGCTGAGGTGGTAAAACTGCACCTTCAGAGGGTGTTCTGTGCTGGGATGGTAAAACTGCACCTTGAGAGCACAGTTCCCTGTGCTGGGATGGTGAAACTGCACCTTGAGAGAGCTGTTCTGTGCTGGGATGGTAAAAGCTGCACCTGCAGCTCTGCTCCCCCAGCTCAGTGTCCACCTGTGTCCCTGTGCTGCTGTCACAGCCTGCCACCAGTGCCTGGCCCCTGGCAGGTGCTGTCAGCTCTTTGGCTCGTGAAGTCTCTGTATTTCTCTGACTGGGTTGTTTTTGGTGAGAAATCCTCTTATTTCCCAGTTTAATAACTCAGTAAGGGGTGGTTTGAGTGCCCACCCACTGCGGTGACCCCACAGAATGTCACCATCTCTCCTCTCCCTTCCCACCAGGTTACCCCTGTTCCAAGCCAGTGCTTTTGCATTCTTAGCACCTGCCAGAGCAATTCTCTCTCTGGAGAAGTGGAAGTGCAATAACACAGGTAATTGTTGTTTATCCTTGTTCAGGTTTAAGTGACAAGTGGGCCGGGTCACGTGGAGTGCAGCTGCCAGAGCTTCTGATGTAAAAGCTGGGAGTAATGAGCAGGGAATATGGAAAGCTTCTCTTTTTACAGTGTTACAATACTCTGCCACAGAAGACTCCTAAAAATGCCCTTGTGGAGTTCTGTTTCTGGGGATTTTTTAATACAAAAACGTTGACAAAGGAACTGTAACTGTGGCATAAAGCAATTCTTCTGTTCATTTACATTCTGCAAGTGTTCCTTCCCGTAATGTTCCAAATATTTGGAAACAGCGAGTCCAAGTGAGCCCTTTGAAGTTGTGAGTGGGAGGGAGTTTGAGCAATGCACAGCATCACCTCCAGACCAGGATTTTCCCCTGCTGAAGTCATACCTGACAGGTTTTGACAAGATTTGGATGTTCTTTTTCCCTCTCTCTCTGCTGCTGTCGTCATCCTGGAAGGTTTGAGCTTCAGAGGGACGAGGTCCTGGTTGGGATGGGAGCTTTAGCTCTAGGTTGGACTGGAAATGACTCTGGCAGTTTTCTGTTCATTGAGGGGTGGTTATTCAGTACCAAGGCTGTGGGCAGTGGGAAGCAGCAGTACAGGGAATAATCAGGCTGCTCACTCCTGACTGGAGCTCTTCCTCGGGCTCCTTTGGACTCTCTAATAATTTAATTTCTATTATATACATCTCTGTTAACTCACACTCAAATGTGATTAACACCCAGCTTGTTGAAAGAAACTCTCTGGTAACCCTGGGTGGCAAAGCCATTTTCCCCAGGACTGCAGCTTGTCAAAAAGAGCTTTGCTGAACCTTCCTGCTGGACCCTTTCACCTCCCAAAGCTGCCAGCTGGGGCTGTCCCCACGGGGCAGCTCCTTCAGTCAGTGACCTCCACTAGAGCTGGGGATTCCTGGGGTGCAGCTGAGTAATTCCCCACTGGAGTGGGGAGAGAACTCCTGGCTGACCTTTCTGTCTGGAAGTCAGGGTGTTTTCCTGCTGGAACCCTGGTTGCTGAGAGTTTTGGAGCAGGGGGAGAAGTGAGGGGTTGGTTCTTGGGCCTTCATTTGAGCACAACTTGCTCTCTGTGTGAATCCTTTGCCAGCCACAGCCTGGGGAGGGATTTGGTTTGTGTGGAATGGTGGCAGGGTGGCCGGGCAATAAAAGAAATCCCCTTTTTTGTCCCTTTTGGAAGATCTGACAGTTGCAAATGGAACAGCAGAGCTGCTGCACACGGAGCACATCTGGTACCCCCGGATACGAGAGGTAATGTGGGACTTGCATTTGCTCTCACTCTCCTGCTCCAGTTAAGTTCCTCACTTTGATCATCTGTGTGTTCTTGTCTTTAAGTTGGTAATTTCTCGTTTCACCGCGATCTCCATTTGAATATATCCCTTTCCTCATTTCATGGAAGTCTTCATCTTTTCCACCTGTTCATTGCTGGCCAGCAAATACCAGGAGTTAGTTACCACATCCCAAAAGCCGTGCAGTGAAATGCTCAAGGGAGATGAAAACTCTTCTTGTAACCCTGATTTGTGCTCGCTGGCAGCAGTTCAGCTGCTGCCAGGCCCCTTCCTTGCCAGCTGTCCCTGTGCTCTGGGGCTGGCCCTGGAAGGTGAATCTGCAGTTAGGAAATCTGGTTCCTTCCCCAGTGTCTTGAGTTGGAGACTCTTGTGATAAGAGGTCGATTCTCCCCAAAGACTTTTGAAATGCCTGGAGCTCCTTCTCCACTCAGTGTGAAGTCGTGGTGCCCTGCAGGGCAGGCTGAGGGCTGTGCCACGCCAGGGTGGCAGGTAGAGTAGTCCAAATGAAGGCGTGTGTCATGGAATTGATCTCCCATCCCGTTGCTTTGGGCTGCCAACTTTTTCTTAATTAAAAACAACCCCTCTCTCTTCCCCATGTTCAAACCATAGCTACATCCTGCCAAGAGCCCTGCAGCCAAGAGGGCTGACAGTCTCCTGAGACCACAACGCTGCTCTAATCCAGCTTCTAAGGAGCACTTGTGACCAATGCAGCACACACTCTGCCCCTAGGAGCTAGGAGCATCACCTCGTGGCGCACCAACCCTTGCCGTTCGATCTGAGAGCTTAAAGGTTAGCCTGGACCCCAGGTCTCCTGTCTGACAGTGTGATGTGCTTTCCACACAGCTTCCAGACTGGCCCACTGGTCTGTTGTGTAATAGTTTTGTGGAGAAAACCATAAGTGTTATGCTTAAAGCAATAAGTCACTTAAACATAATGAGCTGTTATATGACGGGAAAAAAAAAAAATTTTTTTTTTTTTGCCGAGTTCTTCTGTGTCACTGAATTCTTTTAACTGCAGTTTGTAATCCAGAGCAGAAAAACAAAGGGTTTGGCTTTGCCTGTCAGGTGGCACTGAGCTGCCTCTCTGCCCTGTTGTGTGTTCAGATCCAAGGTGCCATCATCATGTCCTCGCTGATCGAGGTGGTGATCGGGCTGCTGGGGCTGCCCGGGGCCCTGCTGCGCTACATCGGGCCCCTGACCATCACCCCCACCGTGGCCCTCATCGGCCTCTCGGGCTTCCAGGCTGCTGGGGAGAGAGCTGGCAAGCACTGGGGCATCGCCATGCTGTGAGTACCCTGCGTTTCCTGCTGCCCATGCGGAGTTTTGGGGTGCCGGGGGAAAGCCGGAGGCAGCGGGGCTGCACTGGTGCTGCTGGTGTGGGGAGCACCCTGAGAAACAACAAACACCATGAGAAACAAACACCCAGAGAAACAAACAGCCCCCTGAGAAACAAACAGACACCCTGAGAAATGAACACCCTGAGAAACAACAAACACCATGAGAAACAAACACACACCCTGAGAAACAAACACCCTGAGAAACATGGAATTTAAATGTTACCCAGTCAATAACCTGAGAAACAAACAACACCCTGAGAAACAAAGAAACACCTTGAGAAACAAACAACACCCTGAGAAACAAACAGCACCCTGAGAAACAAACAACACCCTGAGGAACAAACAGCACCCTGAGAAACAACAAACACCCTGAGAAACAAAGAACACCCTGAGAAACAAACAGACACCCTGAGAAACATCAAACCCCCCGAGGAACAAACAAACCCCCTGAGGAACAAACAACACCCTGAGAAACAAGCAAACCCCCTGACAAGCAAAACCCTGAGAAACAAACAAAGCCCCTGAGAAACACCCAGAGTCTGGATGAGATCAGCTGGAAATGGGGGAATAAGGACAGAGCAGTTCAGGGGGATTCCCTGAAGCTTTTCCCTGCTTCTTCCCCATGTGCAGCACCCAACTGTGCTGGCTCTGGGAGCAGGAGGAATGCCTTGGTGAGATCAGATTGTGATCTCACTAATCTGTTTGCACAGTGCTTTGAACATGTAAAGTATTCTGTAAGTGCAGCTTATGATTAAAAGGGCTCTTTAATTCTCTTTTATCTTGCATGTTGGCATCAGGAGTATTTTTGTGATTCTGTTGTATTAAGCAGCTGATCCAAAGGAACGTTTTATTTGTCTGTAAAACAAATTTCTGTGCAAGTTGGGGCTGACGTTCAATGAATCAAGCCCATCTTTGAACTGGACATGGAAACATGTAATTAAAGTTGACATTTTTGCAGATGGAAAAAAAAAATCAATCGATTCAGGAGTGGAATTTAAATGTTACCCAGTCAATAAAGTATTGCTGGCTTCTGCCATGCAGAAATGGGAGGTTAAAAACAGCTCCACAGCTGTGGGAAGCCACTCAGGAGCAATTCCAGCTCTGTGAGATGTGGCTCCTGGAATTGTCCTGGATATTCTGAGGAAATCAAGGTCCTGCATTTCTCCCTGGCCCTGCAGAATCAGCTGGGGGCCTCTGGGAGCTGCAGGATTCCCAATTTCCTGATGAACTTGTTCTGTGGGTGCTTTATTCCACCAGACATTTGCACTGATATTTGTAAATTATTCCTGAGCTGGGCTTTGCCTGTTTTTCCAGATTTTCCTGGGGCATTCGAAGGTTTGGTGCTGTTTCACAGCCCCTCTGCTGTGCAGCCAATGGAAAATCCACTGCCATAATTGAATATTGGATTTTTTACAGCTCTGTGCTAAATCAAATCCAAAGCTCTCTGTCCTCAGGGCTGGTGTGGGAGGGAGGGGAGCCCGTGGTGGATTTTGGGGGGATTCTGGGGTTTCCTGCATGGAAAAGATGTGCTTTTTGCTTTTCTCTTGGACTGCTGAGGGCTGTAAATGCCCCTCCTTTTCCTGGAGAGGAAAACTGGTTTGTGTCTGATCTGGGGCAGAAGAGAGGCTGACAATCCTCTTTTTATTTTTCAAGTCAGCTGATAAAAACATAATCTCAGATTTCAGCAGAGCTTTGCTTCCTCAGACAGCTCCAGTCTTTGGGAGGCCCTTGCAGAGCAGAGCTGGGTTGAGAATTGAGAATTGCTCCTTTAGAATTGAGCAACGTGCCCTGGCTGATGATTTTTCAGGGCAGTGGGGGCTTATTTTAGCTGTAAAAAATAATTTTTAATGTCCAGATGAGCTTGGCAGTTTCATTAATGGCAGTAATGCATAATAATTGAGACATCTAATACAGATGGACTGCACTGGCAGCAAATCTTGGGGCTTGGGCTCCATTCTGCTTCATTTGCAGCTAAATAATGAAAGATTTATATTTAAAAAAAAAACAAACAGATTCTTAAGAACAGAAAAATTTCCCTGACAGCAATTTCTTTACATGCTTTGGAGTTGGCTGCAAATTTTGAAATGCAAAAATCTGTTTTTGCAGTTCTCCTGTTTCTTGGCAGGTGCTGGCAGCAGGTTTTGTGCCTTACAGAGCAGCCCTGGCTCTCAGCTGGAGTCTGGGAGCAAAGAAGGGGCAGCACAGGAATTTTAACTGAAAATCCCCCTTCAGCCTGGGCCTGTCCCTGATCCATTTGCAGATCCTTAAGAACAGAAAAATTTCCCTGACAGCAATTTCTTTACATGCTTTGGAGTTGGCTGCAAATTTTGAAATGCAAAAATCTGTTTTTGCAGTTCTCCTGTTTCTTGGCAGGTGCTGGCAGCAGGTTTTGTGCCTTACAGAGCAGCCCTGGCTCTCAGCTGGAGTCTGGGAGCAAAGAAGGGGCAGCACAGGAATTTTAACTGAAAATCCCCCTTCAGCCTGGGCCTGTCCCTGATCCATTTGTCTGCTTGCAGCTGCTGAGTTTTGCAGCACTTGAGAATTCAAATTCTCTTTTGGCATTTGAGGAATAATAATTTGAATGGTTTTGCTGCCTTGTCTTGTGCTTGAATTGAAAATCTGCATTTGTGTTGTGCCTCCAAAGGGCCTGAAGAGGTTTGTGCTAAAAAGAATTTATCATATATTGGTGCTAATAACATTTCTCTCTTGTCCCACCCTCCTCATCCTCCTTTTTTTTCCCTCAGGACTATTTTTCTGGTATTGTTGTTCTCCCAGTATGCCAGAAATGTCAAATTTCCCTTGCCCATTTATAAATCCAAGAAAGGATGGACAGCATACAGGCTGCAGCTTTTCAAGATGTTCCCTGTAAGTCCTTGAACTTGTTCTTCCTTTGGCAAAAAAAAAAAAATCTGTTTTGGGAGTTGGGGTTGTTGGTTTTGATTTTTCTTCACAATAGAATACTCAAAAGGTGAGGTAAATCTTTAATGGATTTATTGGAAACATAATGGAAATATTCAGATTTTGTGGGAGTGATGGGGAGGGGAGGGCAGAGGGGAAGGGAAGCTTGTGCACACAGGGGGAAATGGTTTTTATTTATTTTTGGGTTAGAAAAAGGGTGTTGTCCAACAAATTAGACAAAACACTAGAAACATTTCTTAACCTATCAACCTTTCACACTATACTATAAATACCTCAAAAACCAACCATCTCAAATCATAAATCCTGCTGCAATACACCTTCCATGATTCTGTTTCTCCAGAACACCTCATCTCCTTACAAAACCATCCTGTAAAACTTCCTTCCAGCTCCATTTCTCTCTCAACACCATCTATCCTGTCCCATAACATTTCTAAATCAGCATTTATCTCAAATTGTAATATTATGTATTTTACATATGAATGCATACAGTGTCTATATGTGGTATGTCTTTTACATACAATTTACATACAGTATCTGCGTATAATATGTGTTTTACCTACAATTTACATACAGTATATAATATGTATTTTACATAATAATACAGTATATATAACATGTATTTTACATAGAGTATCTATACATAGTATTTTGCATACTATATACATACTTATACATGATATGTATTTTACACACAAATACATATTCTGTATATAGTGTTTCACATACTATTTACATACACTATCTGTATGTAATACCTGTTTTACATTCAAATACATACAGTATCTATAGTATATATTTTACATACTACTTACATACAGTATCTATATATAATATGTATTTTACATACAAATACAATATATAATATGTATTTTACATACTATTTACATACAGTATGTATTTTACATACTATTTGCATTCAGTATCTGTACATGGCATGTCTTTTCCACACAAATCCATGCAGTATCTATACATGGCATGTCTTTTCCACACAAATCCATACAGTATCTGTACATAGCATGTCTTTTCCACACAAATCCATACAGTATCTGTACATAGCATGTCTTTTCCACACAAATCCATGCAGTATCTGTACATGGCATGTCTTTTCCACACAAACCCATACCATACCAACCTTCTCTCAAGCCCCCAAACCTCCCACGGATCCATTTCCCCCCGCTCAGGCTCCGGGCTGTGCAGCACCCCCCGAGCAGGAGCTGTGAGCTCACTGCCCCCCCTGTGTGCTCGTGTCCCCAGATCATCCTGGCCATCCTGGTGTCCTGGCTGCTGTGCTTCATCTTCACGGTGACAGACGTGTTCCCCCCGGACAGCTCCAAGTACGGCTTCTACGCGCGCACGGACGCGCGCCGCGGCGTGCTGCTGGTGGCCCCGTGGTTCAAGGTGCCCTACCCCTGTAAGTGTGCTGCTCCCGGGGCCCAGCAGGGCCACTGCTGCTGTCCACAGCTCTGCTGCCTCTGCCTGGGGCTTATTCCATAGCCCTGCTTCCCCAGAACCCAGCAGGGTGGTTCCTTTGGTTCCCCAGAACCCAGCAGGGTGATTCCTTTGGTTCCCCAGAACCCAGCAGGGTGATTCCTGTGGTTCCCCAGAACCCACCAGGGTCATTGCTGCTGTTCCAGAGCTCTGCTGCCTCTGCCTGGGGTTTATTCCTTAGTCCTGGCTCCCCAGAACCCAGCAGGGCCACTGCTGCTGTTCACAGCTCTGCTGGCTGTGTCTGGGGTTTATTCCTTAGTCCTGGCTCCCCAGAACCCAGCAGTGCCATTCCTTTTGCCCCACAGCTCTGCTGGCTCTCTCAGTGGTTTCTTCCTTAGTCCTGGCTCCCCAGAACCCAGCAGAGTGATTCCTTTGGTTCCCCAGAACCCAGCACGGTCATTGCTGCTGTTCCACAGCTCTGCTGCCTCTGCCTGGGGTTTATTCCTTAGTCCTGGCTCCCCAGAACCCAGCAGGGTGATTCCTTTGGTTCCCCAGAACCCAGCAGGGTCATTGCTGCTGTTCCAGAGCTCTGCTGGCTCTCTCAGTGGTTTATTCCACAACTCTGGTTCTCCAGAATCCAGCAGTGTCATTCCTCCTGTTCCAGAGCTCTGCTGGCTCTCAGTGGTTTATTCCATAAGTCTGGTTCCCCAGGAGTCCAGCATGTTCATTGCTGCTGTTCACAGCTCTGCTGGCTGTGTCTGGGGCTTATTCCATAGCCCTGCTTCCCCAGAACCCAGCAGGGTGATTCCTTTGGTTCCCCAGAACCCAGCAGGGTCATTGCTGCTGCCCCACAGCTCTGCTGGCTCTCTCAGTGGTTTCTTCCTTAGTCCTGGCTCCCCAGAACCCAGCAGAGTGATTCCTTTGGTTCCCCAGAACCCAGCAGGGTCACTCCTCCTGTTCCAGACCTCTGCTGGCTCTCTCAGTGGTTTATCCCATAACCCTGGCTCCCCAGAACCCAGCAGGGTGATTCCTTTGGTTCCCCAGGAGCCCAGCAGGGTCATTGCTGCTGTTCCAGAGCTCTGCTGGCTCTCTCTCAGTGGTTTATTCCACAACTCTGGTTCTCCAGAATCCAGCAGTGTCATTCCTCCTGTTCCAGAGCTCTGCTGGCTCTCAGTGGTTTATTCCATAAGTCTGGTTCCCCAGAACCCAGCACGGTCATTGCTGCTGTTCCACAGCTCTGCTGCCTCTGCCTGGGGTTTATTCCTTAGTCCTGGCTCCCCAGAACCCAGCAGTGCCATTCCTTTTGCCCCACAGCTTTGCTGCTCTCTCTCAGTGGTTTATTCCTTAGTCCTGGCTCCCCAGAACCCAGCAGTGCCATCCCTCTTGCCCCACAGCTCTGCTGGCTCTCTCTGGTTTATTCCATAACCTTTGGGTGCTGTGGATGATCCATCCCTGGCGGTGTCCCAGGCTGGACAGGGCTTGGAGCAGCCTGGGACAGTGGGAGGGGTCCCTGCTCCTGGCTCTGAGGGTCCCTCCCAGTCCAAACCATTCCACAGTTCCAGCACACACCACTCTCATTGCCTGCTGGTGTTCATTTTTTTCCTTGTTTTCCTCTTCAGCTGACACCTTAAGGTCTCACCCAGGGAAGGCTGAGGCTGTGAACTGCAGTGTGCAGGGTTGGTGTGGGTGACTCTCCTGAGAACAAGTGACTGCACCCCTCACAAGGCTGGCTGATTGCTCAGTCCTTGGCGGTGCTGGCAGTGCCAGGGACAGGTTTTTACAGCTCTGCTGAAGTCCCTGGCTCTCACTGTCTAAAGAATCACTTCTGTGGGCAGCTCCTCCCGGCCTGCTGCACTTCCCTGCCCCAAACACACCCATTCCTGGCTGAGCACGGCTGTTCCTGGCAGAAGATGCCCTGACTTGCCAAGGCACTGCTGGCACGGGCAAGTCAGGGAATGCCAGGCCCTGCTTATCAGAGAGCAGTGAAATTATTTACAGGAGAGCACCAAACACTTCACACAACGTTTTGGATGTGTTTTTATGTTGGCCACCTCTAGGTTTAATGCTGTTAAAGGCTGGGGTTGTGGTGTGAGATTGCACAACTGGCTCACCCTTCAGAAATTAACTGGGTAATTAGGGAATCTCATTATTTTAGAATAGAAATACAGGAATTATCAGCCATGCCACCACATGGTGATGAGGCAGCTTCATTGTGGTTTTCCATGTGCTTTGGTTCTTGAAAGAAACCACTTCTGAAGCAGCAGATGAAGAATAGAAGCTTTTGGGAAAGAAGAGGAGGAAAACTTCTCCACCCTGATCAGCCCATTTGTATTTGTGAGGTTCATTCACTCCTGTGTGATTGAAGATCCCTTTGTTGCACGAGGCTCATCTATTTCAAAGAGATAAAAAGCATCAAGGCAATTGCTGTGGAAAACCTGCCAGGCTTTTCTGCAGGCTTAAATTAATCTTATTTTCTCTACTACAAAAATTTGGAGCTGGGAGGTGTTTGTGCAGCGATCAGAGCTGGTTGTTGGATCCTCTTTGGTCGACTAAACTTGTGACCAAAGTGACTTTTTGGAGCAATAATAATACAGTGGCATTTGCCTCACTGGCCAGGATTGTTTTCTCACAAGCTGTAACTCAAATTCCTGATTCCTGAACAGGAGGAATTTTTTTTTTTTTTTTAAGTGGGGTTTTATGGCTCTCTGGGATTTTTCCAAGTGTGATCAAAGCAGTTTGTTTGGCGTTTTTTCCTTTGCTCCTTTCATCTCCTTGAACTTGCCAGACTGTGTTAGAGTGAAGGGAGTTTGTTGTTGCCACCAAAGATAAATAAACAGTGCCTGGGGCAGTGCTGGGCCCCCCTCAGTCCCAGGGTCACTTCTGGCCCCTCAGGACAAGGACATGGAGGGGCTGGAGCATGTCCAGGGCAGGGAATGGAGCTGGGAAGGGGGCTCAGAGGGAGAAAATGGGATCAGGGGGAACTTCTGCCTTTGCACAACTCCCGACAGGAGGGGGCAGCCGGGGGGGATTTGGGATCTTGTCCCAAAATATGGGATAGGGACAGAGGATTTAGGGGACAGGGACAGGAGGAGAGGGGACAGAAGGAGAGGGAACAGCCCCAGGCTGTGCCAGGGGAGGCTCAGGGTGACATTGGGGAATATTTCTTGCCCAGCCCTGCAGTCCCCATCCCTGGGGGGCTGCGCAGCAGCGTGGCTGTGGCACTTGGGGACGCGACCAGCGCTGACCCGGGCAGTGCTGAGGGATCCTAAAACCCCTTCCCAGCCCAAACCACTCCCCAGTCCCACCAGGTTTGTGTTGGTTTGGCTGTGTGCTGGGGCAGGAAGGCGTGAGTGTTGCTCTCTCCACAGTCCAGTGGGGGCTGCCCACCATCTCGGCGGCGGGCGTGATCGGCATGCTGAGCGCCGTGGTGGCCAGCATCATCGAGTCCATCGGCGACTACTACGCCTGTGCCAGGCTCTCCTGTGCTCCTCCTCCTCCCATCCACGCCATCAACAGGTCTGTCCCAGCCAGAGCTACTGCACTGGCTCAGCCTCTTTGGGTTTTTTGGGTTTTTTTCCCCCCTTTGGATAAGCAGGAATGTGCTCTGAGGTGGAATGTTGCAGTTTGGTCAGACTGCAGGGCCAAGGGTGTGAAGTGCAGGGTGGAAATGGCACCTGGGGTTGTGTTGTTACCTTTGAATGCCAGTGCTGTTCCTGCTGGAGTCTGTGGGAGTTACCAGCACGGTTTGCACAGGGAAAGAGCTCTAAACTGGTTCTGGAATTGGGGTTGTCAAAATCGCCTGGAATGCAGTTTAGAAACAGAGCAGCTCTGAGGCTTTGTTTGAGTTTTTAATACAGTTTCCTCAGTTTAAGAATGGGGGGATCTAAGACTCAGGAAACAGAACTCCAGCCTGTTTTCCAGGTGTGTTGGAGCTTGAGCCATGCATGGCAGTAATTCCATGGTGGAGCAGATGCCCCTGTGGCATTCAGGACCCCCCCAGTGATTGTGTGCCTGAACCAACCCTTGTGTTCTCTTTGGCATTCCAGGGGGATTTTCATCGAGGGTCTCTCCTGTGTTCTGGATGGAGTGTTTGGGACAGGGAATGGATCCACCTCCTCCAGCCCCAACATTGGGGTCCTGGGCATCACAAAGGTGAAGTGCTCTGCTGGGAGCCCTCAGGGGTTCCTGGTGTTCATTATCCTCTTCCAGGAGACCATTCTGCTCCATTCCTGTGCACACGAACTTCCCAGATCATTCTGAGTGTGCCTGACTGTCTGTACCAGCTCCTGTCTGAGGGAAATGCATTATTGTACATCAGGACCTCAAAAACTCATTTATTCAGAGTAAAATGCAGTTAGAATCCCCATAATGCAGATGCTGCTGCATAAACCATCTCTTGGAAAACCTAGGCAGCATTCCAGGGCTCTGGGGTGGTTTGAGTTGAGGCATAAACACTGTAAACTGTGTAGAAATTGCTGCTTTTTGGGTGTCTTGGCTCTGAAAGCATCAGTAGGAAGTGACTTTTTAATGCCTCACACACAAAATGTGAAAATGCAACGTGAGGTGCTTGGGCTTTATCTGTGTCTGTACTGGGACATGGCAGTGGCCCAGGGGCTGCAGCCAAGGTCATTGCAGAGTTAAAAGGACCCTCAGTGTTTGGGTTTAAGGCTTAGGGCTTTATGTATTTCTGGTGATGTTGCTCAACAACAAGTGTGGGAGTGCTTGAGGGGCTCCTTTGCTCCCGTGTGGGGCTGGATCTGTGCCTGGCTGAGCTGGGAGGCCTTGGCTGCAGAGAAATCTGCCTGATATTGTTAATTTAACCTTGGTGAGGAACAGCAGCAGCTTTGCTGAGAGTGATCTGTGTTGTAAATAGGTCCACCTTGTCGGGTGGTGAACGTGGGAGCCATAAATCCTTTGTGCAAGGGTAGAAAATGTCTGTCCTTGCAGTAACTCATCCCCCTGGCCTGATCACATCTGATAAATGATGTGTTTGTCCTCAGCCCTCCCTTGTGCTGCACAAAGGGTGATTCTGCTGCCTTTGGGGTGCAGTTCAACACTAACAGCACCATCTGCTGTCTGTACCAGTCACCATCCAGCTCGTGGAAATCTCCTAGGAGAGAAGTTCTGCTCAGGAAAAAAAAACAAACCCTTAAAGAAAGGTTTATTCTGTTCTGCTCCCTTGCCATTGTTTCTTCATGGGGGTTGAGATGAATTAACAGAGTTTTTTTTTTATGAGCAGCCCACAGAAATGAGTGTGCATTTCATGCTGGAGCAGTGCAAAGTTGTGGCAGGGAGTGGAGCTGCCCAGGGTGGCTCTGCAGCAGGCTGTGCTCTTGTTCCCCTGCTGCACATTCACTCCCCAAACCCCAGCAGCTCCTCAGCTTCAGGCAGAATTTTGGCACAGAGATGCTCTGCTGTTGGTTTGGGGGAGGAAATCTTCAGTGCTGCATCACCAGGGCTTTTCCCTCTCTTGAAATTGCTGTGTAATTACACTTAAATTTAAATTCAGCTGCATGGAGGTGCTGAAAGCCTTTCTGCCTTTGGGGTGCAGTTCAACACTAACAGCACCATCTGCTGTCTGTACCAGTCACCATCCAGCTCGTGGAAATCTCCTAGGAGAGAAGTTCTGCTCAGGAAAAAAAAACAAACCCTTAAAGAAAGGTTTAATTCTTTCTGCTCCCTTGCCATTGTTTCTTCATGGGGGTTGAGATGAATTAACAGAGTTTTTTTTTTATGAGCAGCCCACAGAAATGAGTGTGCATTTCATGCTGGAGCAGTGCAAAGTTGTGGCAGGGAGTGGAGCTGCCCAGGGTGGCTCTGCAGCAGGCTGTGCTCTTGTTCCCCTGCTGCACATTCACTCCCCAAACCCCAGCAGCTCCTCAGCTTCAGGCAGAATTTTGGCACAGAGATGCTCTGCTGTTGGTTTGGGGGAGGAAATCTTCAGTGCTGCATCACCAGGGCTTTTCCCTCTCTTGAAATTGCTGTGTAATTACACTTAAATTTAAATTCAGCTGCATGGAGGTGCTGAAAGCCTTTGAGCCAGTGTGTGTGTTTTCCTTGATGAGAGCAAGATCAATTAGCTCTGATTAGCTGGGGCCAAAGCAGCTCTTGCCATAGTGGTGATGCTGGAATGGAGGCTGCAGGTACCATTTGATGCACTCCAAAATAATCACTCCAAAATAAGTGTGTGTGCTGGGAATGAACACAGAGCCTGAGCTAAATGCTGCCTGGGATGTTTAATTTGTTTGCATAAATAAATGTCACTGTCATGCAGGTTTTCAAAGGATTGGCCTGTTTCTGGCAGGAACAGAATTGTAGGGCAGGATCTCAGTGGCCCTGCAGAAATGAATATTTCTATAAAGAGCAGAGAAAGGTGCCAGCTAAATTCTGTTGTAATTCCACTTGATGGTGTAGCAGAACTCTGTTTGCAGGGGAAGGAGCTCACCTGCAGCTCAGCAGTGAGGAATGGGGGCAAGGAAGGATTTTCCCCTCCTCAGTCCCGTTGGATCTGTAGTTTCTCATTTCTCTCATTTAGCTCAGTCACACGTCATGAACAAATGAATATTTCCTTTTTGAACCCTGCTGCTCTGTACCAGGGGACCTGCAAAGGGCTTTTCCAGAAACCATCTTAGTGTACAGGAGTTTTTGTTGCCCCTGGGGCACCTTTTGTGCCAGTAGAAGATGTTAAAATGCCAACTTCAGGTTTATCCACTGCCCCTGCACCACAGAGAGCCGCTGCCTGCTTGACTCTTGAAAGCTTAAAATAAAACTGGGAAGGAAGTGCACTTGGTTTCAGTGTTAGCACAGCCCTGATTTGCATTCAGCCCTGCTCTCTGAGGGTGTCACAAAACCAGCTGCTAATCCAAGCCTAAAACTCCTGCCCCTCCTTCCCACGACCTGGGACCTCTTTAATTTATTCCCGTGTCCCAGGGCAGCAACACACGGAATTTATTTGATATTTTCCATTTGCCATCTCCCCTTGGTGTGGTTTGCACCACATTTCTTGGTGTCTGTGGCAGCTCCAGGTGGTTTTAGGCCCGGCCTGGGGAGGCTGAGCTTGGCTGCAGAGCAGCTTTGGCTCCAGCGCCGAAACGAAACCCACGCAGGAGCCAGCAACGAGCCGAAATGAAACCTCACCAACAAAATAAACCAGGCAGCTGTGAGGCTGGGCTGAGGGCAGCCCTCACCCCCTGTCCTGTCCTGTTTTCCTGCAGGTTGGCAGCCGCAGGGTGATCCAGTATGGAGCTGCCTTCATGCTGCTGCTGGGCATGGTGGGCAAGTTCAGCGCGCTCTTCGCATCGCTGCCCGACCCCGTGCTGGGGGCTCTCTTCTGCACCCTCTTTGGTAAGGGGCTTGCTTGTTTGCTGCTTCTAAGGAATATTTCATAATAGGAACTTCTCCTCCAGGCGTGTTTTGCTCCTCCAGGCGTGTTTTGGGTAGTGAAAGAGTGTTTTTGTGCAAAGGAACATCCGAAACACAAAGCGATGTTACTGCTTTACATGGGCTTAGCAGGAGGAAATCCCCAGAGGAAGGAGTAACACTGCTTTCCTAATAAACTGCCAAAATCTTTTCTTTCTGGTTGCAACGGTGTGTGGTTTCATGGTGCACTGATTCTCAGGTTTGCTAGTTTTTAAAATCACAGATTAAAAGGAAAAAGAAGAAAAATCAGGTGCTCTGCTATTAAAAAAACTGCACTTTCCTGACAAATTATTCCAAATGTTCTGGGAGATATCTCCAGGGATATTTTGCTGGGTTGTTTTGTTTTTTTTTTTGAAGAAAAAGACTTACCTAAAAGCTGGTTTTGGGGTGTTTTGTGTTCAGGGATGATCACGGCCGTGGGTCTGTCCAACCTGCAGTTCGTCGATCTGAATTCCTCTCGGAATCTCTTCGTGCTGGGATTTTCCATCTTCTTTGGGCTTGTCCTGCCCAGCTATCTCAAACAGAACCCCCTGGTCACAGGTACGTGCTCCTGCTCCTCCACATCAGCTTTTCTGCCTTGTGCTCACCTGGAAATTCCGTCAGGTACTGAGGAGCAGGAAGAGGAACCCCAAATTGTGGAGAAAAAACCCCAAATTGTGGAGGAAAAACCCCAAATTGTGGAGGAAAAACCCCAAATTGTGGAGGAAAAACCCCAAATTGTGGAGGAAACCCCTAAATTGTGGAGGAAAAAACCCCAAATTGTGGAGGAAAAACCCCAAATTGTGGAGGAAAAACCCCAAATTGTGGAGGAAAAACCCTAAATTGTGGAGGAAAATCCCCAAACTGTGGAGGAAAAACCCCAAATTGTGGAGGAAAAACCCTAAATTGTGGAGGAAAATCCCCAAACTGTGGAGGAAAAACCCCAAATTGTGGAGGAAAAACCCTAAATTGTGGAGGAAAATCCCCAAACTGTGGAGGAAAAACCCCAAATTGTGGAGGAAAAACCCTAAATTGTGGAGGAAAATCCCCAAACTGTGGAGGAAAAACCCCAAATTGTGGAGGAAAAACCCCTAAATTGTGGAGGAAAATCCCCAAATTGTGGAGGAAAACCCCCAAATTGTGGAGGAAAAACCGCAAATTGCGGAGGAAAAACCCCGAATTATGGAGGAAAACCCCCCAATTGTGGAGGAAAACCCCTAAATTGTGAAGGAAAAGCCCCTAAATTGTGAAGGAAAAGCCCCTAAATTGTGAAGGAAAAACCCCAAATTGTGGAGGAAAAACCCCAGATTGTGGAGGAAAAAGTCCAAATTGTGGAGGAAAAAGCCCAAATTGTGGAGGAAAAACCCCAAATTGTGGAGGAAACCCCTAAATTGTAGAGGAAAATCCCCAAATTGTGGAGGAAAATCCCCAGATTGTGCAGGAAAAACCCCAAATTGTGGAGGAAACCCCTAAATTGTGAAGGAAAAACCCCTAAATTGTGAAGGAAAAACCCCAAATTGTGAAGGAAAAACCCCAAATTGTGGAGGAAAATCCCCAAATTGTGGAGGAAAACCCCCAAATTGTGGAGGAAAAACCCCAAATTGCGGAGGAAAAACCCCGAATTATGGAGGAAAAACCCCAAATTGTGCAGACAGGAAAGGCTGTAGGTCCAGACAAGCTCTGTGTGTGTGTATTCAGAGAATTTTTTGGGAGGTTGAGACTGGAATGTTCCAGTGGGACACAGCTGGAGCTTTCCTGCTTTCTCTGGGTGCAGTTACCAACTGGGCTGCAAGAAAAACTGAGCTGAAAATGATGCTAAAAGATGAAAGGGGAAACACCAAGGCAGAGTTTGGAAGGGGGGGAATTGCTCGGGGGGTGAAACTTTCTGTCACTCAGACTGTTCTGGGTGTGAATTTTAATTTTAGTGAATTCCCTTAGGGACTGTAAATGGAATTGTAGCTCTGGAGAGTTCACTGGGAAGGTTTTCTGTTTTCATGTGACCCTCAGCAGTGCTCATGCCAGTGTGTGTCAGCAGAGATGGACTCAGAGGAAATATTTCACTGCTTTGGGTTTGTCTGGGGGTTTTTAAACAAAATATTAACTGACTTTTCTTTCCACTATGCCTTCAGACCAGGATTTAAGGGCATATCTGTCCTGCTGTAAGTGGTTAGAAAAGCAGATCCCTCAAGCTTGATGTGGTTAATGCAGTGTTCTTCCATAACTGGGGCTGTGAATCCTTGCCCCTTTAAAAAGTAAAGATTTTTTAAAAAATAAAAATTATTTTATAAAAAATAAAAATTATTTTATAAAAAATAAAAATTATTTTATAAAAATAAAACTATTTTTAAGAAATTTATAAAAAATTGCTATTTATTTCTATAAGAATTATGTAAAATATTTATAAAATAATTATTATACGAAAAGTTACAATTTTACAATCTGAACACTTCCCTTTTGCACTCCACACTTTTCTGCTTAGCTCAGATTAGTTGTGCCTGCAGTAGGAACTGAAATGGTGCTTTGTGACATTTCTGTGAGCAGCTGAGAGTTCCTGAAAGTTGCATTTTGGGGAACAATGTCCCGTGCTGGTGCCTTGGGAGGAGATTCTGCATCAACCCCCAGCCCTGAGCAAATCCCTGAGCTCAGACACAGGAGCTCCTGCTCAGCCTGGGGGAACCAGGGGGATGAGGGTGGTGACAATCCCAGCAGGTTTTCCTTTTCCCTGTTCCTGCAGGAATTGCAGGCATTGATCAGGAGGAACCAGGGGTATGTGGGTGGTGACAATCCCAGCAGGTTTTACCCTATTCCTGCAGGAATTGATCAGGGGAATTCAGGGGGATGAGGGTGGTGACAATCCCAGCAGGTTTTCCCTGTTCCTGCAGGAATTGCAGGCATTGATCAGGGGGATGAGGGTGGTGACAATCCCAGCAGGTTTTCCCTGTTCCTGCAGGAATTGCAGGCATTGATCAGGTGCTGAATGTCCTGCTCACCACGGCCATGTTCGTCGGGGGCTGCGTGGCTTTCGTCCTGGACAACACCATCCCAGGTGAGCCCCGAGCTGTGAGCCCTGCAGCGTGCCCTGGGGAGGGGCAGCAATCCCTGGAGAGGGGCAGCAATCCCTGGAGGAGGGCAGGAATCCATGGAGAGGGGCAGCAATCCCTGGAGAGGGGCAGAAATCCCTGGAGAGGGGCAGCAATCTCTGGACAGGGGCAGCAATCCATGGAGAGGGGCAGCAATCCCTGGAGGAGGGCAGCAATCCCTGGAGGAGGGCAGCAATCCCTGGAGAAGGGCAGAAATCCCTGGAGAAGGGCAGAAATCCCTGGAGAAGGGCAGAAATCCCTGGAGAAAGGCAGGAATCCATGGAGAGGGGCAGAAATCCCTGGAGAGGGGCAGCAATCTCTGGACAGGGGCAGCAATCCATGGAGAGGGGCAGAAATCAATGGAGAGGGGCAGCAATCCCTGGAGAGGGGCAGAAATCAATGGAGAGGGGCAGCAATCTCTGGAGACAGGCAGCATTCCCTGGAGAAGGGCAGGAATCCATGGAGAGAGGCAGAAATTCCCTGGAGAGGGGCAGCAATCCATGGAGGAGGGCAGCAATCCCTGGAGAAAGGCAGCATTCCCTGGAGAAGGGCAGCAATCCATGGAGAGGGGCAGAAATCCCTGGAGAGGGGCAGAAATCCCTGGAGAGGGGCAGCATTCTCTGGGGAGGGACAGAAATCCCTGGAGACAGGCAGCATTCCCTGGAGAGGGGCAGAAATCCCTTCAGAAAGGCAGAAATCCCTGGATAAAAACAGCATTCCCTGGAGAGAAGCAGAATTCCTTAGAAAAAAACAGCATTCCCTGTTAAAAAAAAAAAAAAGCAGCATTCCCTGGAGAAGGGCAGAATTCCCTGGATAAAAGTTTCATTCCCTGGGTAGAAGCAGCATCCCCTGGGGCAGGAGATCCCTGCTCTTGGGGCTGGCTGTTCCCACAGCAGGAGCAGAGCCCTTACACCTGCCCTCCCTTCCCCTGAGAGCACCTGGAATCCTTCCCAGCTTAAAATCCTGTCAAACACCTAAAAAAAAACCTGATAAATACCAAACCAGTCTCCAGGAGACAGAGCAAAACTGGGTTTGAGACCCAAACCTGCTTCCATTCCAGAGGAGAAATTTGCCTTCCAGTTACAAAATAAAGCAGATAATGTGTGGGTTTGTCCCTTTTTTAGGAGCCTGGGAGCTTTGCAGAACTTGGTGGCAGGGCCTTGGTGTTTTCATTCTTTTTTCAGGCTCTGCTTTAGGCTTGGGTAAAGATACCCATGGATATAAATAGATTTCCCTCCTTTCATTCTGATCCCTAGGAAGCCCTGAAGAAAGGGGAATTCGCAAGTGGAAGAAAGGGGTTGCCAAAGGAAGCAAATCCCTGGATGGCATGGAAACCTATGATCTGCCTTTTGGCATGAACTTCATTAAAAAATACAGGTGTTTCAGCTTCCTGCCCATCAGCCCCACCTTCGTGGGGTACATGTGGAAAGGCTTCAGGAAAAGCAGCAGCTGCAGGAGTTCAGATGAAGACTCAGAAGCTACAGTATAGCCTTAGCTGAAATTATATTATCTAGTTGTAGTCAAAGATGTATTTGCAGTTTCTTGCTGATTAAGAAGCATTAAAATATATGTTTTGTATATCTGCATTTAAATTCTGGAACCAGAGCTGAGACAGATTTAAAAAGAAAAAAAAAAATTTAAAAAAAAAAGCTTTTCCTGCTGTGGGTGGTGGGAGCCAGGTCTAGTGTCTCTGGGGCAAATCCTGCTGATTTTGGGAAGCTGGAGAGAGCTGTGCACCTAATTCTGTTGGGTTTTAATGGGTTTAGGTGGAGGTGTGGAGGTGCTGCTGCAAATTTTTCGTTTTTATGGTGATTTTATTGGAGCCCTCAGCGTTGGTTACGCCAGGAAAGCTGAACCTTGGAGAAGGAGGAGGGGGAAAAAAGAGAGAAAAGGAGAACTGTTTCCTTCTGACCATGTCCAGTCCCATGTGCTGCTCAGTGATTTGCGCATTCCGTGTTCTCAGCGCCCTGGAAACCAGGCTCAGCTGATGCTGCCAAATCAGGAGAGTTTCACTCTGAACAATCCCTGCTTCCAGTGACACATGCAGTGCTCAGACAGGAAGTTTCTGGAATGACTTTGCCTCTGAAAGCCCTGCTGGCTCGGCGCTGCAGCAGCCGCTTCTTTTCCTGCATTTCTCCTTTTTTGCTTTTCCCCACCAGGATTTCCTGGGACACACAAACCTGGGCAGTTCAGGGATGGCAGACCTGAGCTCACCCAGCACCTGCAGGCAGCCCTTGGGTTCAGTGCCTGTGTCCAGCACGTTCCTTCCTGGCCAGAAATGCTAATTAACTGAGCAGCTCCAAGCAATTAACAGTTGTTCCCTGCAGGGACAGCCGCGCTTGGGTCCGAGCAGGATTTTTAATTTTGTTTTTTGCTGATGGCTCTTCCTTCTCCTCTTGTGGGGCTTCTCCAGAGGCTGATTGCTGCTGGGAAGGGGTTTGGGCCAGCAGAGACACTGCACCTGCAGCCTCACCCACCGGATGGGTTCACGGGTATTGGGTCCAATCAGGGCACCACTCAGATCTCTTTTTTTTTTGTTCCTGGAGTAGTCTCAGCTCTGCTGTTACGTGGGTGTTCACGCTCATCATGCATTCATGATTAACAGTTTTATTCCTGTTTAATGTTCTTACTATTGCAAGTTAGTTTTAGACTTCGGTGTGGCCCCAAAAAGCATTTTCAGCTGTGGAGATCATCAGGGAAATGTCGTGTAATGTAATTTTCAAGGCCAGTAATGCTCTACGGTGCTTGCGTTTTGTATTCCTGGAAAACCATACCAGTAGATCCTGTAACCCCCTGATCTATTTATCCAAGTTTGACTACTGGACAGGAGCACAGGAACTCTGTTTTCTCTGAGTCTGCTCCCAGGGGAATAATTTGTTCTGGGTTATTGAAGCATGGACGGGTTGGGGTGGGGAGGGCAAGGACGGAGCTCGACGGATCAGTGCTGAGTAGTGTAGAGTGGGAATGATCCCGTGCAGATCGTTCTCAGCATGCCATGGCTGTTTCCAGAAACTTTTACCCCGCTTTTCCCGTGTCCAAGCATGCCTTTGTTCCTGCTTCCTTCGGGGAACTTTCAGTAGTTTGCGGTCTTGGTGTCGCTCGGACTCGGAGCTGCTCGGAAGAGTCGTTGTGTCGTGGACGAGGTTGGTTTGCCTGTGAAACAAAAAAAAAGTCGTTTTTGCTCATTTTTCAGTGTTTCCTCCCCCCGGGGGAGCGAGGTGTTGGGTTCCTCTCCCTGTCTGCACGTGGTTTTGGGTGTTGATCTCTGCTCAGTGGCACGGAGCTTCCGCGTTCCCAGCTGTAGGAGCGTGGCAGGGGTTAAAAACGCCCGTCCAGCAGGGAAACAAAAACACCTCTGGTGGCTCTGCAGCCTGAGGGATTCTGCTGGTGGCAGATGTCCCACTGGTTATCCTGTAAAAGTGGAGAAAGGGAGGAAAGGCGTTTGATTTCCAGCTGGCTGCAGAGAGAGGAGGGGATGCGGGCAGAGCTCGTGTCTCACCCTGCTCAGGGGGAGCTCCCACTGGGGATTCCCAACAAATCCCAGGGCAGCAAATCCTGGAGAAATTCTCTCTCCTCCCTGGAGCAAACTCCCCTCCTTCCCCACAGCGCTCTCCAGGCAGGTGCAGCCCGGTTTTCTGTTGGATTTAATTCTTTTTGTGGTTTGTGCCCGTTCCCCCAGCCCCTGTCCTTGGGACCAGCTGGAATTGGGTCACTCTGGATCCCAGCTGGGCAGTGGGACAAACCCCCCCCTTCCCCAGGGTGAGTGCTCAAAGCTGGGCCCTGGGCTCGGGGGGGACCCCTGGGTGTGCAGGAAGAGCTGGGCTTGGGAAGTCTGAGGTGAATTTTGGCAAGAGGAGCTGCCCTGTCCCCTCCTGGAGCCCCCCAGGGGAAGGAGAGCAGTGCTTTTCTTTGTGGGGGTGGGGAAATCCCTGAGTTCACCCCGGGTTTGTGCAGGTGCAGGGGGCATTTTGGACCTTCAATCCTTCCTTTTTCCTGGTCCCTTCTCCTGGTCACTTGGCCAAGTGGCTGCTGTGAAATTCCAAATTCCAGGTGCCCGTGCCAGGCTGCTGGCAGGGCTGGAGAGGATGAGGCTGCAGGTTTGGGGAGAATTAAACACAAATGGTGAGAATTGAACACAAATGGTGAGAATTAAACACAAATTGTGAGATTTAAACACAAATTGTGAGAATTAAACACAGATTGTGTGTGCTGGGGACGTCCAGGTGCAAACCTGCCTGCCAATGCCATGCTGGATTTTCCTCCCTGTCCTCCCCTGCCTTCCCAACAGCCAAACTCCAAGCACCCAGGGAAGTTGGCAGCTGAGAGGTGAGTGAAGAGGTGATGAGAAATTTCAACCAGATTTGGAGAGGGAAGGGCAAATATTCATGGTAGAAATCTCATTTTGTCATATCAGAGGTGGCATCAGTGTATACAAACAAAGTAACTTGGGATTTTTGTAATCGATGCTCTCTTGTATTTTTTTTTGGTTCAATTAAGGGTTCTTGCTGACATGTTGAAACACGTTTTCTAAAGCAAATACTTGCAAATTATGCCTATAGAAATTTAGGTTTCGTAGCTGACAGCTATGACTGATTAATGTTGTCATATTGGAGGGACTTGGCACGTACCTCGCTCAGAAAGCTCGACCTTTTCAACCCCAAATTTGCTTTTATTGCCTTTTAATACTGACTTGAAATATGACAACTTGGTTTGTACATGAATATTGCAGTATTTTATTTCCATATATTAAGAAAAATAACATTTCCGCTCAGGAGAAAGAAGCCTTTTCCTGGGAGGGAGTGGTATGAGTGTCATGACAATGTCATGTGATGGTAGAATTTCTTCATTGACGAATCTATAGTGGTTGTGTATACTTTATTTACCCATCTTCGTGTTCCTACCCAAAACTGGAGGCTTTTGTTGTTCCCTCCCTGCTGAGCCCTCGAGGCTCCCCCGGGGGGGGGCAGAATTGGAGAAAACCCCTCAGCGAGTCGTTTACACCCCAAAAAAAACCAAAAAACCCGTGCAAATCCTGACATTTTGGGTACTGGTAGCAGAGCTGAGCAGCCTGTGCCAGCCTCACCTTCGCTTCTTCGTGGCCTTCTCCAACCAAAATCTGCTTTTTCTCCCCTTTTCCTTTCCTTTTCCCGAGCGGGGCCGGGGGGGGGTCACTCGTTTCTCGCAGCAGAGTCCCAGGGCTGGGTGCAGTTTGTGTTCCTGGGGGGTCCCGGGGCTGGCTGGGGTCTGCCGTGGGCTCGGAGCCCCCCAGGGGGGCTCGGTCCCCCTGCTGCCAGCCCCAGCAATTGCTGTGTTTGTCTGTTCAGAACAACCTCTGGTGAAACAAACTATTGACTGTTCTTAGGCGGTGGGGATAAATTTCCTTTTTTTCCATGACTTTTCGTGACTGACTTTGGCTGTAAAACTTTTTTGTTCAGCAGCAAAAGTTTATTTGGGGGGGGGGGGGGTTTTTTTTTTTTTTTTGTTTGGTTTGGTTTGTTTTGTTTTTTGGTTTTTTGGGTTTTTTTCATTTTTTGTTCTTCTTCCAAGATGTGTAATTCTTTTACGGATTTTTTTTTTTATTATTATTATTCCTTTTTTTTTTTTTTTTTCCTAACATTGCTTCATTAAACAACTAAATATTTAAAAATGTAATATTTGGACCAGATGTTGTGAATAATAGTAGATAAAGCTATTTTATTCTGTATTTTTAAAGCTGTTCAGTATAAATAAACGCGGGCATAGATGCAGTGGTTGTCACAGTTCTTTGGTCCTGGAGTGGGTTGGGTTGGAAGGGAAGGATTCCTCCCTAATTGATTGATTTCTTCCTAATGAATAATTAATTTATTAATGGATTATTAATGTCAGAATCCAGGTGATGGCCAGACCCAACCCAGAGCCTTTGGAGCTGCCCAAAACCACGACCCCCAAATGCCCTTGGGACCCCTCAGCTCTCATCCCACAGCTCCTGCCCTGGGGACAGCCCAGAGCTTTGGGGACACGGGGACACCCCAGAGCTTTGGGGACACAGGGACACCCCAGAGCTTTGGGAACACGGGGACACCCCAGAGCTTTGGGGACACAGGGACACCCCAGAGCTGCCCCTGCCTTTAGTGATACCCCAAAACTGCCCCTGCCTTGGGGACAGCCCAGAGCTTTGGGGACACAGGGACACCCCAGAGCTGTCCCTTCCTTTAGGGACACCCCAAAACTGCCCCTGCCTTGGGGACAGCCCAGAGCTTTGGGGACATAGGGACACCCCAGAGCTGCCCCTGCCTTGGGGACACGGGGACACAGGGACACCCCAAAGCTGTCCCTGCCTTTAGGGACACCCCAAAACTGTCCCTGCCTTGGGGACACCCCAGCCCCCCTGAAGGTGGCTGGGGCTGGGGCTGAGGGTGCAGCAGTGCTGGAGTGGACGGAACTAAAGCAGCCAAAAATGCCCCAAATGCACAGGGAGGGGCTGAGAGCAGCTGTGGGACCAGGGCAGGTTTGGGGCTGGGATGGAAACCTGATCCCAGCCCTGGTGATCCCAATCCTGCTGATCCCAGCCCTGCTGATCCCAGTCCTGCTGATCCCAATCCTGCTGATCCCAGTCCTGGTAATCCCAGTTCTACTGATCCCAATCCTGCTGATCCCAGTCCTGCTGATCCCAGTCCTGCTGATCCCAATCCTGCTGATCCCAGTCCTGGTAATCCCAGTTCTGCTGATCCCAGCCCTGGTAATCCCAATCCTGTTGATACCAATTCTACTGATCCCAGTCCTGGTGATCCCAGTTCTGCTGATCCCAATCCTGGCTGATCCCAATCCTGCTGATCCCAGTCCTGCTGATCCCAATCCTGCTGATCCCAATCCTGCTGATCCCAGCCCTGGTAATCCCAATCCTGCTGATCCCAATCCTGCTGATCCCAGTCCTGCTGATCCCAATCCTGGTGATCCCAGCCCTGCTGATCCCAGCCCTGCTGATCCCAGTCCTGGTAATCCCAGTCCTGCTGATCCCAGTCCTGGCTGATCCCCTGTGCTGGGGTCCCAGCTCAGCCATGTTTGTGTTTTCTGCTCGTGTCTCACCCAAACCGACCCCAGGTGGGCAAATCCTGGGCAGGATCCCAAAATCTGGGGGTTTTCAGAACAGCCAGAACCTCCCCCCTGCCAGGGGGTGACAGACACAGGTCAGGGACAAGGAGAGGCTTTTCCAGAGCCTCCTCTGCTTCCCAGGGCTCCCAAGCACAGGAAATCTCTGGATTTCCTGGCAATCACCTGGGGGGGCTCAGAGCTGAAACCATGAGAAGCTGCCAGTAGGGGAAAAAAAAAGGGAATTTTGGCTGCTTGCTCGGTCTGGGGGGAAATAATTGGATATTGGAGAATTTTGGAGCTGTGCTTTATTCCGGGGCCTGGCTGAGTCCTTGGCAGGAGGGAATCCATGCAGCTCCCTGAGGAGTCAGCCTGCAGAGCAGCTGCTGTGACATCCTTGTCACCTTTCCTGGGGATCTGGGGCAGCCTGCGGGGCTGGGAGCTCTGCCCTCCTTCCCGTGGGTCTGTGGAGGCTGCAGGGAGCCCTCACAGGGCAGCAACGGGGCAGGAATGGGTCAGATTCCTTTTATTTGGGAAACCAATCCCCCCCTCCAGGCTCCACGCTCCCCCCACCGCCCGTGCACGGGTGGCAGCGAGCAGGACATGGCAAAAAATCAGGATTTAACCCCAATTCCACAGCCAAGGATCCCCTGTGCTCCTGCAGGTGCCCACCCCAAACCCCAGCTTTATTTTTTTTTTAATTATTTTTATTTCTGTTGTTATTTTTCTGTTTACATCCACCCCAGGAGCTGAGGCTCAGGGGAAGCTCTCCCCGTTTTTGGGGCCGAATCCTGGCGTTTGGGGCCGGCTCCATTGTCCTCTCTGCCCACCACAAAGGGCCTCTCATCCCTGGCAGCCCTCGGGATGCTGCTGGAATATCAATCCTGACCCTGCCCCGCTCACTTTTGCCGAGTCAGTGCTTCCCTGAGCCAGATGGCTCCTCCAGAACTTCTCATATTTTGCACAGAAATCCAAGAAAATCTGGGAAAAAAGGCCCATTCCAGCCTGTGCCTGCAGAGACGCCTGGTGGGCTCGAGCAGCTGCTTTGATTATTTCTTTGTTTTGGGGTTGTTTTGCTGTTTTGTTTTTTTTTTTTCCTCCTTTCGTGTGGGCTGTTTCTAGGCAAATTCCTTCAAAAGAAAAAAAAGCCACAAAGCACTGGGAAAGGTCAGGGGCAGACAAAGGAGGAGGGACACGGCTGCTGCTCCTCTGGAATACTGAACACCCCCAAAGTCCCCCCAAAGTGCCCCAAACTCTCCCCAGGACTGGACAGGCAGGATGGGACCCCGATCCTGGGAATGCTGAGTGCTCCCAGCTGCAGCTGCTGCTCCAGGCAGATTTTATTTGAATTTATTTCCTCCTCCATCCCCTGCTCGGGGGCGGATTTGGATCCGGGTGGATCCCGAGGCTGAGGGCAGCATCCAAGTGTGCTGCCTGCACGGCTCTGGCCCTGGATATTCCAGGATTTGGGGCTTTTTAGGGCAGGAGCAGCCGCTCCAGCCTGTGGGATGCAGCCCACAAATTCCCTCTGGGAATTCTGGACAAAGCTGGAGCTGATTGTGGGAGCGTTTCCAGCCCGGCTGCGTGGGATGGGGATTCCTTTGGGATTCTGGTCTTGGCAACGGGGCTGGAGAATCCCTTGGGATCCTGTTCCTGACACCAGGAATGGGGCATCTTTTGGGATCCTGTTGAGGAATGGGGGGTATTTTGGGATCCTCTTCCTGCCTTTGGGAATGGGGAATCTTTTTGGGATCCTGTTCCTGCCATTGGGAGTGGGGGATATTTTGGGATCCTGTTCCTGACATCAGGAATGGGGGAATCTTTTGGGATCCTGTTCAGGAATGGGGGATATTTTGGGATCCTCTTGCTGCCTTTGGGAATGGGGAATCTTTTTGGGATCCTGTTCCTGCCATTGGGAGTGGGGGATATTTTGGGATCCTGTTCCTGACATCAGAATTGGGGCATTTTTGGGATCCTGGTTGTGGCAGCGGGGACAGGACGTCCTTTGGGACTCTGGTCTTGGCACCAGGGATGGAGAATCCTCGCAGACCCCGCTGCTGAGGCGCAGCCCGGCTGGAGCCAGGGTGTCCCTGGGGAGCCCAGACCTGCTCCAGGGACGTTCCTGGAGCATCCCTCGGGATCTCGGGGCGGGCACAACCCGGCTCCCGGCGGCGCCATCCTCCGGGGTACCCAGCCCTGGCACCGGGAAGGGCTCCGGGAGCCGGGATGCCCTCCGGGATCCGGGTTCCGGGATGACCCCGGCTGCGGGCGGGGGTGTCCCCCGCGCTGCCACCCCCGGTCCCGCCCCGTCCCTCCCCGTCCCGCCCAGGGGCGGCCCCACGGGGGCACCGGCAGCGAGCGGAGCGGCACCGCCACCGCCACCGGCACCGGGTGAGTGCGGCCGGGCTGGGGCATCATCCTCATCCTCATCCCCGTCCCCATCCCGCTCTCCATCCCCGTCCGCAGCTCCGGGAGCGGCCCCGGGGCTGAGCCGCGGCCCCGCCGCCTCCGGGAGCTGACGGAAAACCTCCGGGACCTCCGGGATCCCACCCCGCAGCCCCGGACTCACCTCATCCCCCCCGAGCGCCCCCAGCCTCGCCCTCCGCTCCTCCGGGAGCAGCCGCAGCGCCCGCGGCTCCCTCCGGGCACGGCGCCTCCTCTCCCCGTCCCTCCCGGGCCCACCGGGACCCCCTGGCCACCCTCCCGGAGGGTCCACCCCGAGTGGCACCCCCCGTCCCCGAGCCGGCCGGGCCCGTCCCGCTCAGCGCTCGGCGCTCCCTCCTTCTCTCCCGGCAGGACGGAGAACAATAGCGCCGTGGAAAACAATGGAGCGGCCGCGCTTCTCCGCCTAGGGATGCGGGCCGGACGCGGGGCGCGGATCCCGGCCCGGGAGTAGCGCAGGATCCGCGGCACCGGGTGAGCGCTCGCGTCCCCGCCGCTGCCGCGGCCCGGAGGCGTCCGGGCGATGCTCCGGGGCACCGGAGAGCCCTGGGCACCGCTCCGGAGCCGCGCCGGGCTGCGGGAAAGCACCGCGGCCTCCCCCGGGAGCGGGATATTCCCACAATGCCTCGGCTGCGCCAAATCCGCGCCTCCCGCTCCAGCCGGGGATGCTGCCGGGGTGGGGGGGGGGGGGGAAGCGGCAAACCCCCCTCCCCCCCCAAAAAAAAAGCAGATTTCTTTGCAGGAGTGGGGATGAACGTCGCTGTCCTGCTGGAAACGCGGGTTTGGGCGGTTTTGCTACTTTTTTCCTTGTTTTGTTGTGTTGGGGCTGTGGATGCGGCCGGGCTCCCTCGGGGGTGCGAGAGGGGGGTCTGGGGGGTGTTTTTGGGGAGGGGAACAAGTCCGGGCTCCGTCAGACCCGGGAGCAGCCGGGAGGAGGCAGAGGGGCCGGAACCGCGCCAGCTCCGGGGGGGGAAACTGAGGCACGGGAACGGAGACGGCCCCAGACTGCCAGGGCTGAGCAATGCAGCGACTTCCACTTGGCCGGCGCTTTGATTGGGGTGATTCCCGGCATTTCCCGGGTGATCCCCGGCCTTTCCCGGTCATTCCCAGCTTTTCCCGAGTGATTCTCAGCCTTTCTCGGCTGATTCCCGGCATTTCCCGGCTGATTCCCAGCTTTTCCCGAGTGATCCCCAGCCTCTCCCGGGTCATTCAGCCACGCGGGGCTGTCGGGGCCGGCAGTGCCCGGAGCCACCCGGAGCCGCCTCTCCCCTCCTCTCCCGGCCCGCTTTTCTCTCCAGACCCAAAAAAGGAAGAATTTGCCCCTTTCCTCAGCGCGAGGAAGGGGATGTGATGACGGAGGCCAAGGTGGCAGAGCCGGGCCGTAAACAGGAAACTCCTCGGCACGGGAGGACGAACCTGCGGCTCGGGGGGAGGATGAACCTGCGGCTCGGGGCTCCCCTCCCACCCCAGACCAGGGGCTTTTGCACGGCTCCGCTCCGTGCCCGTGTCCCCTCCGAGGGATTTGGGATTTTGGCTTGGCCCCGGGGCATCCCCACGATGCTCTGGAGCAGAGATCCCAGTGGTGCCGAGGGGTCTGCCCTGGCTCTGCTGCTCCAGGAGGGGTTTCACTCCCTTTGGGGTTTTTGCTGCTCCAGGAGGGGTTTTTTCACCCCCTTAGGAGTTTTTACTGCTTTAGGAGGGTTCTTTTCACTGTCTCTGCTGTTCTTACTGCTCCACCCCCTTATGAGTTTTTACTGCTCTAGGAGGGTTCTGGTTTTTTTTCCACTCTCTTGGGTGATTTTGCTCTTTTAGGAGGGTTTTTTTCACTCCCTTTGCTGCTCTAGGAGAGGTTTTTCACTCACTTTGCTGCTCCAGGAGTTTTTTTTTCCCATTCACTTTGGGGTTTTTGCTGCTCCAGGAGGGTTTTTTCACCCCCTTATGAGTTTTTACTGCTCTAGGAGGGTTCTTTTCACTCCCCTTGGAGTTTTTGCTGCTACAGGAAGGTTTTTTTTCACCCCCTTAGGAGTTTTTACTGCTTTAGGAGGGTTCTTTTCACTGTCTCTGCTGTTCTTACTGCTCTGAGAAGGTTCTTTTCCCTCCCTTTGGAGTTTCTGCTGCTCCAGGAGGGGTTTTTTCACTCCCTTTGGTGATTTTGATGCTCTAGAAGGGTTCTTTTCACTCCTTTTTTCTGTTTTTGCTGCTCTAGGAGGGTTCTTTTCACTCCCTTTGGTGTTTTTGCTGCTCCAGGAGGGTTTTTTCACCCCCTTATGAGTTTTTACTGCTCTAGGAGGGTTCTTTTCACTCCCCTTGGAGTTTTTGCTGCTACAGGAAGGTTTTTTTTCACCCCCTTAGGAGTTTTTACTGCTTTAGGAGGGTTCTTTTCACTCCCTCTGCTGTTCCTTTTGCTGCTCCAGGAGGTTTTTTCCCCATTCACTTTGGGTTTTTTTGCTGCTCCAGGAGCGTTCTTTTCACTACTTGTTCTGTTTTTACTGCTCTAGGAGGATTCTTTTCACTTCTTTTTCTGTTTTTGCTGCTCCAGGAAGGTTCTTTTCACTCCCTTTGGGGTTTTTGCTGCTCTAGGAGGGTTCTTTTCACTCCCTCTGCTGTTCTTACTGTTCTAAGAAGGTTCTTTTCCCTCCCTTTGGAGTTTCTGCTGCTCCAGGAGGGGTTTTTTCACTCCCTTTGGTGATTTTGATGCTCCAGAAGGGTTCTTTTCGCTCCTTTTTCTGTTTTTACTGCTCTAGGAGGGTTTTTTTCACTCCCTTGGGTATTTTTAGCACCAGGCTGTTTTTGCTGCTCTAGGAGGGTTTTTTTCACTCCCTTGGGTATTTTTAGCACCATTTTCACATCTGCCACGTCCTTTAATCCTCCTTGACCATCCCCAGAGCTTTCAGCCCTTGCCAGGGGACACCCACCAGGGGCAGCTCCTTCCTGCCCCCCAACCCTGGGGAGCAGCTGCTGCCCCAAAAACCCCACGGGTTTATCCCAAACCCTCCTGGTGCCGTTTTTGGTGGATCAGTGAGATTATTCCTGTGGGAGGCGGCTGCAGGAGGACAGTTGGTGCCGGATGTTGCCAAATTTTGCCGGATTTTACCCAATTTTACCCAAATCCTCTCTCAGCTCCTCAGGAAACCCAGAGCTTTGTCAGCTCTTCCGCGATTTTTTGTTCCTGACTTCTCCTTCTGCTTTTTCTCTGAGCCCCAGGGCTGGGCTGGGCCGATTTCCTGCCCTTCCCCTCCTGCCACTGAGGATTTTTTTTGCTGTTGAAAATCAATTTTTTTCCCCCGGGGGTTTATCCCAAAGTGAGGGATGGAGCCCCAGGATTGCTGCCCTGCCGGGGATTTAGGGTTTGGCTTCATCCCCTGACAGGTTTTACTGCCTCGGCCCGGATTTTGGGGTGGATTTGGGGTTTTTTCTTGCAGGAAAAGAGATTTTTGTGTCCCAGGGGGCTGGGAGGAAGCACGTGGGGAGGTGGGAGGTGGAGGAAATCAGCGCCTTGAGGAGCAAACGCCTGACAGGAGAAGGGGAGGGAGGGAAAAGACCCTGAAAAATGAAATTTTCCCATCCAAGGAAAAGCAGGACCCGCCCAAAAAAAACCCTTTTCCCATCTTTCCAAACCTCCCCAGTTCCTCATTCTGAGGCCCCTTTGAGGCCCAATTTCCAAAGTGAGCATCCCAAGGGCTTCACCCCAAACCCCAACAATTCCACCCAAAAAATCCCCCCCGAGCTCCGAGCCGGGGCCTGTCCCAGGTGAGATTTTGAAATTCCCAAAAATCCGGCTGGCACCACAAAACCCGCGAAGGATCAGCCCAGAATTTCTGCCTGCTCCGAAATCCCAAAATCCCAAAATCCCAAAATCCCAAAATCCCTCCTTGGCACGCCCCACGGGAGCAGCCCCAGCCCTGGGGGCTCTGAGGGGTGGAAAAAGAGTAAAAAACTCGGGGAAAAGGAACAATTCCCGTTCCCCTCCCCACCCGCGGGCGCTGCCAATGCAAATTTCGGGTAAGGAGATCCCGGCCGGGATTAAATTTTCAGCGAGTTCGGCGCCTCTGCCCTTCTCTGATGTCGCTGCTTCCCCCAGGAGCCCCGCCCGCCCTGCCCAGCCTTTTCCACTCCGGGGGGGGCTTAATTGATTAATTAATTAATTTGTAGGTTTAGGTCGGATTTTTATCTATTTATTTATTCAATTTCTTTAAATGATATCTATTTTCTTGTAATTTTTAAGTATTTTATTTTTTTGGTTTAGGTTTCCTTGATTAATTTATTTGTTTTCAATTTAAATTTTAAAATTATTTGTATTTATTTGCATTATTTTCAATTTATTATTTTTTGTTTTAAATTTTAATTTTTAATGTATCATTTGTATTGCTTTTAATTTAGTTTTTAGATTATTTTTTTAAACTTTTTTTCTTACTTTTATTCTTATTTTTTATTTATTTTCACTGTATTTTAATTTGTAATTTTTTTCATTTTTAATTTGTTTTAGTTTTATTTCTATTTCTATTCCTATTTCTATTTCTATTTCTATTTCTATTTCTATTTCTATTTCTATTTCTATTTCTATTTCTATTTCTATTTCTATTTCTATTTCTATTTCTATTTCTATTTCTATTTCTATTTCTATTTCTATTTCTATTTCTATTTCTATTTCTATTTCTATTTCTATTTCTATTTCTATTTCTATTTCTATTTCTATTTCTATTTCTATTTCTATTTCTATTTCTATTTCTATTTCTATTTCTATTTCATGCCCGCCATGGAGCTGGGAGCGGCCGCCGTGCCCTGCGGGAAGGACAAGTTCATCTCCAGGTACCACGGGACACGGGGGACACGGGACACGGGACACGGGACATGAGTGGGGACACGGGACATGAGTGGGGACACGGGACAGGGGACATGAGGGGGGACACGGGACATGAGTGGGGACAGGGAACACTGGGGGACACAGAGGGACAGGGGACAGGGGACATGAGTGGGGACACGGGACATGAGTGGGGACAGGGAACACGGGACAGGGGACACGGGACACTGGGGGACACAGGAGGGACATGGGGGGACATGGGACACGGGACACAGGACACAGTGGACATGGGACACAGGGGGACACAGGGGGACAAGGGACAGGGGACAAGGGAGGGACATGGGACATGGGGGGACATGAGACATGGGGGGGACACAGGACACAGGACATGGGACATGGGACATGGGACACGGGACATGGGACATGGGACACAGGGGGACATGGAGGGACACGGGATATGGGACATGGGGCACAGGGTGGTGACATGGGTGGGACACAGGGGGGACACAGACAGGACATGGAGCAGGACATGGGGGGACACAGGACATGGGACATGGGGTGAGTACATGGGTCAGGACACGGGGGAGACACGGGGGGACACAGAACACGGGCGGGACATGGGTGGGGACACAGTGGGGGGACACAAAGGGGACACAGGTGGAGACACGGGGGGACAGGGGTGGGACACAGATGAGGACACGGGCAGGACATGGCAGGGACATGGCGGGGACACAGGGGGAGACACGGGTGGGACATGGGGGGAAAAGGGCGGGACACGGGTGGGGACATGGGGCAGGACATGGGCGGGACACGGTGGGACAAGGAGGGGACACGGGGGGACAAGGAGGGGACAGCAATTTGCCCCTCAGAGCTGGGGGAGGCCGGCGTGACCACCCTGCGTGACCGCTCGTGACACCAGCGTGACCCCAGACAGCTGATCAAATGATAAAATGATAAAAAGATAAAAAGATAAAAGGATAAAAAGATAAAAGGATAAAAGGACAAAAGGATTCCGTTTTCAGCCTCGTGACCGACTGCCCCGAGCTCTTTTGGGGTTCCTTTTAGGGAGATTTAGGGGGGCACCCTCGCGGGGAGCTTCTCCCCCGGACTGCGGCTGCAAAATGTTGGAGCCCCGGCAAAACCTTCAACAGGGGAGGAGGAAAAGGACCCAAATCTGCCTCAAATCAAGCAGATTTGGGTCCCCAGCAGCACGGGGGGCTCCTCAGCCAGGGCGGCGACTCCTGAATTTCCAGCGGCAGCTCCGGGGTCGCCGGCGGTGCCTGCGGCATCTCCCCCCTCCCCAAAACCATCCCAGCACCTTTTTCTCCATTTTTTCATTTTTTCCCCCCAGGAACGAGCTGCTCCTGCACCTCAAGACCTACAACATCTACTACGAGGGGCAGAACCTGCAGCTGAGGCACCGGGAGGTGAGAGCCGAGGGGATTGGGGAGCCCGGGACCAGGATTGGGTGGGAGGGGTCCCAAAATCCCCCGTGTGCCACCCCTGGCCCCGCAGGGACACCTCGAGCTGGCCCGGGGGCTCCAGCCCCCGCTGCTCTGGGAATGCCACACTGATATGATGGATATAATATTGATGTTGTAGCTTTATAGTTATATGTATGTATGTAATTTGCATTCACATTTTTATATATATATATATAAAATATATAAATAAATAAATAAATAAATAAATAAATAAATAAATAAATATATTTACATTATATATAAAATCTGCATTTGGTTATAGGTATATATCTGATTTTTTATATGATATGTAAGCCTGTATATATATATATATTCTGTGTATAAAATCCTTATATTCTATGTATAAAATCCTTATAGTCTACATATAAAAATCCTTATATTCTGTGCATAAAATCCATATATTCTACATATTAAATCCTTATATTCTGTGTATAAAATCCCCATGTTCTGTCTATAAAATCCTTATCTTCTATGTAGAAAATCCTTATATTCTGTCTATAAAATCCTTATATTCTACATATAAAATTCTTATATTCTGTGTATAAAATCCTTATAGTCTACATATAAAATCCTTACATTCTGTCTATAAAATCCTTATATCCTACGTATAAAATCCTTATATTCTGTCTACAAAATCCTTATATTCTGAATATAAAATCCTTATATTCTATGCATAAAATCCTTCCAGTCTACATATAAAATCCTTATATTCTACATATAAAATCCTTATATTCTACATGTTAAATCCATATATTCTGTGTATAAAATCCTTGCATTCTGTGTATAAAATCCTTCTATTTTGTGTGTGAATCTGGCTGCAGGAGGAAGGGGAGCTGATCGTGGAGGGGCTGCTGAACATCTCGTGGGGGCTGCGCCGCCCCATCCGCCTGCAGATGCAGGACGACAACCAGCGCATCCGCCCGCCACCCTCCTCCTCCTCCTGGCACTCGGGCTGCAACCTGGGCGCCCACGGGTGAGTGAGGGCAGGGCAGCCCCAAAAACACAGCCCCAAAAACGGGCAGGCAGCCCCAAAAACACAGCCCCAAAAATACAACCCTAAAAACCCAGACCCAAAAAAACAGCCCCAAAAATCCAGACCCAAAAAACACAGCCCCAAAAATACAACCCTAAAAACCCCAACCCAAAAACACAGCCCTAAAAACCCAGACCCAAAAACACAGACCCAAAAATACAGCCCCAAAAAACACAGCCCCAAAAATACAACCCTAAAAACCCAGACCCAAAAACACAGCCCCAAAAACGGGCAGGCAGCCCCAAAAAACACAGACCCAAAAACGGGCAGGCAGCCCCAAAAACACAGCCCCAAAAATACAACCCTAAAAACCCCAACCCAAAAACACAGCCCTAAAAACCCAGACCCAAAACCACAGCCCCAAAAAACACGCCCCAAAAGCCCCAAAAACACAGACCCAAAAACCAGGCAGGCAGCCCCAAAAATGCACAGCCCCAAACCCACACAAACATCCCCAAAATCTACACAGACAGCCCCAAAACATCACAAACAACCCCAAAACCAAGGAGCAGGACCGGGGCTTGGATCCACTGGGATTGGATCACACAAACATCCCCAAAATCTACACAGACAGCCCCAAAACATCACAAACAACCCCAAAACCACACAAACAGCCCCAAAACCACACAAACAGCCCCAAAACCACACAGACAGCCCCAAAACCACACAGACAGCCCCAAACCCCCCATCCTGGCAGGCTGTGCACCCCCAGCTCCCTCCTCCAGGATTTTTGTCCCAGAAGGAGCCGGGGATGAGGGACAGAGATTCCCTGCATTGTCCTTCCCTCTGCGGCCCCGCAGGGACAGGGACCCCGGGCAGGGACCCCCGCCGGGGCACCCACCCCTCTCTGTGCCCCCCAGGTCCGTGCTGAAGCCCAGCACCCTGCCGGACATCCAGGTGACCGACGGGGACAGCGGCAGGGGCACGGAGAATCCCGGGAACGGCGCAGGTGAGCTGGGCTCGGATCCGCTGGGATCGGGAGTGGGGCTTGGATCCACTGGGATTGGATCCACTGGGATCAGGTTGGGATCCACTGGGATTGGATCCACTGGGATCAGGTTGGGATCCACTGGGATTGGATCCACTGGGATCAGGTTGGGATCCACTGGGATTGGATCCACTGGGCTTGAGCTTGGATCCACCGGGAATGGTCCAAGGGCTTGGATCCACTGGGATTGGGCTTGGATCCACTGGGATTGGTCCAAGGTCTTGGATCCACCGGGAACGAGACCGGGGCTCAGATCCACTGGGATCGGATCCACTGGGATCAGGTTGGGATCCACTGGGATTGGATCCACCAGGAGCAGTCCAAGGGCTTGGATCCACCAGGAGCAGGACCGGGGCTTGGATCCACTGGGATTGGATCCACCGGGATTGGGAGCGGGGCTTGGATCCACTGGGATTGGATCCACTGGGCTTGAGCTTGGATCCACCGGGAATGGTCCAAGGGCTTGGATCCACTGGGAGTGGGACCAGGGCTTGGATCCACTGGGATTGGATCCACTGGGAGTGGTTCAAGGGCTCGGATCCACCGGGATCGGATCCACCGGGAGCGGGACCGGGGCTTGGATCCACTGGGCTTGAGCTTCGATCCACCGGGAATGGTCCAAGGGCTTGGATCCACTGGGATTGAGCTTGGATCCACTGGGATCAGGTTGGAATCCACTGGGATTGGATCCACTGGGAGTGGTCCAAGGGCTTGGATCCACCAGGAGCAGGACCGGGGCTCGGATCCACTGGGATTGGTCCCAGGGCTCAGATCCACCAGGATCAGATCTACTGGGAATGGTCCAAGGGCCTGGATGCACCAGGATCAAGCTGGGATCCACCGGGATCAGATCCACCAGGAGTGGTCCAAGGGCTCAGATCCACCAGGATTGGATCCACCAGGATCAAGCTGGGATCCACCGGGGGATCCACCGGGATTGGATCCACTGGGATCAGGCTGGGATCCACCAGGATCAGATCCACCAGGAGTGGTCCAAGGGCTCAGATCCACCAGGATTGGATCCACCAGGATCAAGCTGGGGGCATCCAGGGATCCAGGGGGATCTGAGGGGAGCTGAGCCCTTGCAAATCTGGATCCAGGAACCCCCATCCATGACCCTCCAACTTTTCCCCCCCTTTTTTTTTTCTCTCCCCACTCACGACGCTTTTCCCACCTGAATGAAATCATTCCCAGGCAGCGCCCACCCCACCACGACTCCCCTCAGCTTTATGGCCTCAATCCTCTGCCAGCACATAAGGAAAAAAAGCCTTTTATTCCATTTTTTCCCCTAAAATCCAGTAAAAATCAGTGCCTGGCGTGCACCTGGGAGTGCTCAGTCATCGTTTGTGCAGCTGGAGCAGCTCCTGCCAGAGATTCCTCCCTGCTGCAGACATGTCCTGAATTAAAACCCCCGGAGCTGGAGCCTGAGAGCTTCATTAAAAATGGATGAAGAGCTGGTTTATAATAATCTGGATCCAGGCCAGTTTTCATGCAGAGATCTGAGGCTCTGCCCTCGTTTGCCTGCTCTCATTAAAGAGGAAGTTAAATTATGGAAAAGAGAGGGAAGATGCTCGAGCTCCCGGGAGGAGGGGTTTGATCCAGGGAGCAGCAGGGATTTAGGAGGATAATTCTGAATTAATGACCTTCCTCGGGAGCTGGGGCAGAATAAACTGCTTGTTGTGGTTTAAAGGAAAGTTCATGGGGGGTGAGGAAATTTGATCTTGGGGTGAGGATTTCTGCATCCTCCCAGAGGCTGCTTTGGAGCAGGAAAACTCTGGAATCACAGAATTGTCCTGAGTGGGAAGGGACCACAAGGATCTTTGACCTAACACGTCAACAATCCCACCCCGGCAGTGTTACCCAAAAATCAAAAATCCCACCCTGTGCTTGGATTGTTATGTATAAAAAAATCAAAAATCCCACCCTGGGAGTGCTCCCCAAAACTTAACAATCCCGCCATGTGCTGGGAGCATTACCCAAAAATCAAAAATTCCACCTTGTGCTGTCACTTGTTTGCCTCTGAGTGGAATGTTCGTGCCTGTGGCTCGTGGGGGATTATTGTCAAGGGGTTTTTGATGAGCAGGAAAACATAAATGTTGTTGTTGTTGTTGTAACACCACAAGCTTACAAATTCTGACGTGGAGAACAGATGTAATTAAAAATAACAATAGTGTGGTGTTTTCTGAGTTCCCCAGATGGAGAAGGAATTGAGAAATCTGACTCCATGTTCTTAGAAGGCGAATTGATATGATTTATATTATATTATATTATATTATATTATATTATATTATATTATACATCATATCATATCATATTCATTATATTTATTATATATATGATATGATATGATATGATATGATATGAT